CACGGTACGGTAGGGGATAGGTACGGGACAGGTACGATCGAGGGTAATATGACACCGTCTTCCGTACCGTACCGTACCATCAAACACAGCTGGCCACATACAGCTGGCCGCAATATTCAAATAGGGCTTTCAAACGCAAGATAATAACGTGAAGCAACTTGGAAGAATGGGTATGAATGCGAAGTGTATGGGGGAATGCATGTAGGGCGATAGTGCGGGTTCGAATTCCAGGATATGCCTGAAAAAATAGGAGAATTAAAAAATTTATAACATCCTATGCTTTTTTGCCGTCAGATACGGATAGCGCCAGGCGTGACACAAACAAACAAACACACAAACAAATACCAAACGAGAGAGCTTGGAAGCTCAGGGCCCTGCGCTATGCTTTGTTGCCTAGCTCATCGTGCATGGTGTTAGAACTGATGGAAATGTGTTTTCCTTTGATTAGCTACATCATTGTATTGCAAGAACGTTTCAATGAGTTACTGAAGTAACGTCTTCTGCATAGCTATGGGACCGGCGCTGACTCTGCCGATCAAGGGCGTTCTGGAGTCGACGGGATGTCTGTCCTGACGTTTCCTGGGACTGGCGCTGACTCCGCCGATTACGGGCGTTCTTCTTCTTATTATTATTATACTGACGGCAGCTAACATCCATTCTAATTGCATTTACTCGTCTTCCTACTTTGTATTTCTTTCCAGAAAATCTCCCCATACAGCAGGGAGTCGTTTACATAATATGACTCCCTGCTATACATCTACATGACTGTATACACGTTATAATTATTATGCTATCGGCCTACATGCGATTCCCGGGCTGGTCGACAGGCGGCCCAGCCAGCCTGCTAGTGGGATCTCGGCCTCGCCCACAAATCCACACAAAATGTTACTGCACTGAATGCATTCCCCCGATACACTTCGCATAATATATACTCATTCTCTTGATGGTACCGTACTCTTGATGGTACGGGACAGGTACGGGATAGCGCCAGGCATGCCGCGGCGCCGATGACACAAACAAACAAAAATATTGTGGCCAGCTGTCTTTGTTGGTACGGTACGGTACGGGACAGATATGGGATAGCGCCAGGCGTGACACAAACAAACAAACACCAAATTAAAGCTGCGTGGACCCTGGCTAGCGCCAGACGGTACTGAAGTAACGTCTTCTGCATAGCTACGGGAATTAAGAGGTATAATGTGGCCAGCTGTTTGTGGCCAGCTGTGTTTGATGGTACGGTACGGGAAAGATACGGAAACCAGCAAAATATTGTGGCCATCTGTTATGTACAATCCTGTACAGCCTTTGTAGTAACAGATACGGGACAGATACGGGACAGATACGGGATAGCTACAGGCGTGACACAAACAAACAAACAAACAAACGAACAAACAAACAAACAAACAAACAAACAAACACCAAATTAAAGCTGTGTGGACCCTGGCTAGCGCCAGACGTTACTGAAGTAACGTCTTCTGCATAGCTACGGGAATTAAAGCTGTGTGGACCCTGGCTAGCGCCAGACGTTACTGAAGTAACGTCTTCTGCATAGCTACGGGAATAAAAGCCGAGTGAAAGACCGAGGCGAAGCCGTGGGCTTTTACGAGGTCTTCTATTTCCTATACTGACCAAGTACGAAGTCAATAATAGATTTATCACGAACCAAAGCATGTGTTCAATCGCTAAAAAGGAGTCAAATATAAGCGGTCAATATAGCCATAAGGAGTGAAATATGCAGGAATATTTGACTGCTTAGGTATGGCAAAAATCTATGGGAGTCAATACTAAGGGAGTGATAATGTACTTGATTGTATACATGTACATGACTTGTGCATGTACATTGTATGTGCTGGCAACTGTACATGTATGTATTTGACTGCTTAGGGTTGCGCAGCTGAATTAGGCACCGGCGGATAATGGCGGCAGAAGAACTGGCAGAATTCGGTACTTTTTCTGGCAATTTTCATGCATGTTTGGCATGTGGTTAAAGAAATGGAGCAGAATTCGAGGAATTCCCGCCATAAGGTTTGTATGGTTCTGCCAATTTCACTGCTTTTCGAGCAGAATCTGCCACCTTTTCGAGCAGAATCCGCCGGTCCGTAAGTTGAATGGTGCCTAGTGCATGGTCTCGACTATGAGTAAGTGATGGTGCAACGGTTGTGATTGCACAACACTGGGATTCATAAAGTTATCGCTCTGGAATCTGAAATACGGACTGTTTGTCCTGGTAAAAATATAAATTGACTTCGTACTTAGTCAGATATACAATGTACATGTACATAGCAGACTCAGCGGAGGACGTTCAGGTTGGTTGTACATGTAACTCTGAGTTTCATGCCGTTAGGCAATCATCAGACAACTGATACTCGGGTCTACCCAACAGTATGCTTATATACACATAGGGCCAAAAGCATAAACAAATTCAGCGCTAAATCTGGTTCGAGGCATTGGGAGAAAGCTGGCGCGGGCCAAGGCGCGGCAGTAGAAGAAGTGCCAGCAGGGTGGCGGGCAACAGGCAGGTGTACGTGTGAGCATGAAAGCGCGGAAAGAGGCGTTGGGGAGCCAGTGTACAGCAGATAGGTGGAGGTGCCAGGAGTATGGCGGGCAATGGGCCAGTGAGATCGCTACAAGTAGGGAGTCGTTTGGTGACGGGCTGGCGTGAAAAGAGTGGCATAGCCAACAACAGGCCAACGGATTGTGTTATTAGAAATAATGGTTGCTCAAGCAAAGTGCAGTACAGTACTTGGTCAGTTCATTTGATAGGTGTGAAATTTTCGAGGCGGAACTTATTCTCATGCCTGCATTTCGAGACCATCTCAGACCGCTTGTTGAGTAGGAGCTTGTTGGTTGTAGTCAGGATGTGGAATTTTTCCGCGGTAGATAGATTGCATTTTTTGACTCACATCTGTATGATCGGCTCTTCTCCCGCACCTTCCATGTAATGGTCAACGGCTTTCCCTCGCTCTTCAGCTGCCATACATGTTTTGCGAGCTCAGTGTTGTTTTTGTATTTTTCATGACGCATGGAGGTCAGGTGGTTGGCGTGACGGGCTTTGAAAGGTGTCTCTGATAGGCCGATGTTTATCTTGCTGGTAGATTCTGCAGTGGCCTCATACACTATCTCCTTCGTCTGGCACTCTCCGCGCAGCGGGCAGGACTCCTTGATTCTGCAGTTGCATGCCTTGGTTTGTTCTGGCTCTCGCAGGTTGCTCTTGTTGTGGGTGCTGATGACAGCTCCCATGTTGGGCATACAACTGCAGCTCACTTTCAGGGTGTTACGGTTGAAAACCTTCCCAAGCTTGGATGTTTTCGGGAAGTGCCTGGAGACAAGGCTCAGGAACCTACCAGCGACGTTTGTGCTGACGTTTTTGGAGTAAGGAGGGTTGAACCTGTTACCATATGACTTTCCGGCTGCGGTTCTTCCTGCCCCTGTGCCCATGTGCCTCGGGCTGAAAGCTCAGCACTTCGGTGTATCCACTGGCCTTTAATGCGGTCTGGTACACGGGGGCTGCATGGTTGAATGCCTCCGGGTCGCTTGATATAGCGGAAAGGCGCTTGTTGACAGCAGCAGGGATGTTGTTGGTGATCCCAGGCGGGTGATTGGACTGCTTGTTGACGTAGAGCGGGTTGTCATTTCGCTTTCGGAAGGGTGGAAATTTCCCGGTGTCCAGGTTCATCGTGACATCCAAGAAGTTCGTTTCGATGGTAATTCTTAGGTCGAAGCGCTTGAAGATTTCCGTCAGCTTTTTTCTGAGGCGATCTGCAGCCTGTGGGCTGGTGTCCTTTAGGGCGGCCATGTACATGTCAAATGGCCTCGTACTCAGTCAATATCACTTGTAGATACCAGTATAATATATTATGTACAATAGTCATGTACATGTACATGTGTAATGTACATGTATTAGGCCTCATACAGTAATAGCAAGTATTATCTTCACTGGGGGCAGGGGTATCATGGAGTTAGATCCCGGGAAGGGATGCCCTGATGCGGTCAATCCTTTTTCTACACATTCTCCTCACCTACCTAGAATAAAAGGAGTCGTCACCGAAACATCATAATTATAAATGGTTCAATCCACCGTTCAGCAAGTTCATGTACATGTACGTGTACGTCGCCACGTGCACCGGCGACGTGGGACATCGCTTCCTCCAGCTGAGCTAGTGGCAAAACACTTCCCTATAGTAAAGGCTCAAGTCTCAATAAAATCTTCAATCGTAACTCTGTAAAGGTTAACTATATTTGTATGCAGAATATGGCCACTAGTATTGTTTGATTATGCCTGTAATTATACCAGCATAATCCGCCAAGGGCTAATCTGCGCACCAAGGAATACCATTGACTGATTGAGGTGCAGTGTACACAGTGACAATGTACTCCGCCTTGTTTCCAATGCAGTCCTCCTCCAACTAAAATTACTTACTACTGAGTACTGTACTTACTTCTGTCGATATGATTTTTCTGTCATCATCATGCCTGGTGACGTCATGACGTGATACACTTCTGAGTTCTACTAGTACTCAAGTCATTTTGGAAGAACACGAAAGTAAATGCTGTAAAACATCAAAAAAGATGCCAAGCAATTAATTCAAATCAATGATGATTGCGACGGTAGTCTAGTAGGCTAGTGCTGCATGTAAGTCAAGATGGTGCTACAAGTGTCATGTACACCTAAAAACTGTTCAAAACATTGTCCATCTCTGACTCTGGCTAGTCCAAGCAACAACAAGTGGCCACATCACCTGATCGGTGACGGTCAGCATGAGTACGTGATCACTCCTAATATGCACTGGCCATTACTAGAATGTTCAATGACAATGACTTTGTGCACTGACAAAAATTAATCTGTGTGTGTAGATCTAGTCTAGATCTGGTACGTGTGAGTGCATTGCACTGCGACTGGTGGTACATAATGATGACGACTTCTGTCATTGGTGGCATGGTGTCGAGCAAGTAGATCTACAAGAAAAAAATTGTGTTTCCGCACCGCACACCCCACTCGACTCCCCAGCGCTAGTACTACTAGTCATGTGCAATAAGTGGTAGACACTTCACGTGCAGGCTTTCGTAGCTAGCTGTTGGAGTGTTGCAGTGTTGCTGCACTTGCCGTGTACGCGAGATCTGTGAAGAGAGCTAGCTCTCCAGCTCCCTCGGCCTCCGAGATGTTCACAAAGAGGAAAGTGTGGAAACGGGAAAGAAACAGTTCCCGGTTGAAAGTGATTGCATTAGGTTTCGCCAAGGAATCCACATACCAAAAAAACCAGTGGCCTTGTTCATAGTAACTTCGAAGATGAGCGCACTGCTGTGTGCAGTTCTGGTCGCTACGCAGCTCTTGCTTGCGTGCCGAGGACAGCCGCTAATATGCAGGCAATGCTCTGGGGACCAATGCAAGGACGACAAAGGCACGCAGACGTGCGAAATCAGCGAGGAGGATCGCAACGCCATACCACACGGGCATATGTGCGTGGCGGAGATCAACGGGTTCATCCCGGAGACGGGCGATTTCCATCGTGTGCAGTACAAATGCACAGCGCACTTCGTCGACACCGATGCATGCACTAGAGCCAGCAAATTGCTGACGGATCACACTATCTTGTACTGCTGCTCCGACCACGATCTGTGCAACGCAGCGTTCCCTCCGGCCAATTTGACGGCCATTGTCCTGTCGACCCCGACTGCTACAAGTGCGACTTCGCTGCCAGCGTTGACGGAGAAAGTCGGAGCAGCTTCATGGGAACTGCCAGTGGCTATAACTCTTCCTGTCGTCATTGGGTCGATATTTTTAGTGACGATCGTCATCTTCGTTCGAAGCAAATCGTGGAAATCGAATCAACCCAGTTCGAGAATGTACGATCCCGACATAGATTGGATCGACGGGGAGCCGTACCCGCCTGTTCTCAACAGTGACGAGATCTCGATAACGGGGGAAGGTCACACTCGCATGGCACCCTTGACGCTTTCAAGAACAGTAAGAAGCTTTGATGATATCATTAAAAAAATTTCTATAAACACAAGTAAACGTCACCTGTCCAAACACAGTAATCAGGTGTACTGTGGAAAAATTGCAATTGTACAGAATAGCATTACACTCACAGAGAAACATGGCCTTTCCAGGTAGCTCGAAAAGAGTGCTCCTGCTCCATGACATTAATTTTGTGCAGACTAGTTTAGAGGTTACGCAATTACATCATCAGTAGTGTAGAGGTTTGACGATTACATCATCAGTAGTTTAGAGGTTACACGATTACATCATCAGTAGTGTAGAGGTTTGACGATTACATCATCAGTAGTTTAGAGGTTACACGATTACATCATCAGTAGTGTAGAGGTTTGACGATTACATCATCAGTAGTTTAGAGGTTACACGAGTACATCATCAGTAGTGTAGAGGTTTGACGAATATATCGTCAGTAGTGTACTGGTTATAGGTGATTCAGACTACGGCCAAATGTGACCACGTTTCTACGACTCAGATAGATTTGATCAGGGATTGTGCATAACATTCTGAAACAAGACTGCAGCTCCATGGAAATTCAAGTTCAGACGTGATTTTGGCCGCAGTCTGAATCGCCTATTACGCGATTACATCATCAGTTGAGATCAGGCACAGTATAGTGGTACACGATAATTATAATTTTACTACTCTCTGGTTGAGATTATTTGGCGAAGTCATGGACGTGTGCTTCACACACACGCACACACACCATGTAGAGGGGACGGCTCGATACCGGGACGCTTTGACAGCCAAATTTGCATAGACCCAAACGGATCATCTGCGTTGATTTTTCACTCGAAATATGTTTGTGGAAGGAAACTGGCATGTTGAAGTTTGCTCTGGGGCCAGAGTAAATCGAACTGAGCCACTCCTTTGTGTTGACCAATTGCCTCCAAGTTGCCCAATTTTTCAGTTCAAAAAAGTTCAAATCAGAGGTGCCTCCAAACTGGACACGTTTTAGAGTGCACATCTAATTCACTCTGGGTCTGAAATTAGGTAATTGCTATCGCTCCACGACGGCCAGTACAGAGTAACAATAAGCCTTGTGTGTGCTTCCATTAGTTTTGATCGGTATGCGGTGCTTTATTGGCGAGAGGCGAGCCGCTGTTTACCTGCGACAAGAAGTTGATTTTTCGAAAGTCGTAAAACTCAAGTCGCAGCGCGAAGCAACACGTCAAAAACTCACCTGCTTGATATGGCGCTTCTGGTCATCGCAGAGCCATGAAATTTTGGCTCGGAGTATAACACATCGTAGTCTCACTGTGACATATGTTTTCTAATCAAAATACCAAGAGAGAAAGTGAATATTGAGTCCGTTCCGGTTTGCAACCTATGTCCTATTTGAAACCGTCCCCTCTACCTTGACCTTGACCTTTGACGCCCATCGCCGGAGGCGATGATAGCAATGCTACGGCAGAAGCCATAGCAACTTGTGCTGGGATTGCACCATTCAACAGCTTGCAAGGCTGAAGAATTGACCGTCACTATTCAGCCTGGTCTACACCATACAGCTATTTGAAGTGATTTTTCTGGCCAGTGAATCCCTATTTTTGGTCTTTTCATTTTTTTTCCCGCACACACATCACACCACATACTCCGGCATTCACTGGCTGTTGGTAACCACCCAGGAGAATGAAAGAAAAGTCAGGAAGAGTCTGAGAAAGAGAAGAAAGACGTGTGTGACCATAATCGTCGGGACTCGAACCCGCAACCTATCGATTGGAAATCGCTGCACATACCACTGCACCATATGGGTCCGCCTCTACCACACACACACACACACACACACACACAGTGACACATGCACATACAGACACACACACACACCACACACGCACACACACACACACACACACACACACACACACACACACACACACACACACACAGCGCTGCACTTGCACTAGCGCCTCTCACTGCATTCGATATCAAGATGACTCACGCTCGTATGGTTGTGGCCAGGTGTAAATCTCGAACATGAACATGGTATTTAATACACACACACACACATGGATATACGCACACGTACACACAAATGTACACGACCACATGCGTGCATGCGCACACAAATACACACACACATACTCTGCACTTCTCCAGCTCCGCAATCGAAAAATTGTCACCATAAAGATGGGCCAGGCCAAAATAGCATGTCAAGTGACTCGCAGTAAAGAGACAGTTTCTTTTTGTGTTGGACAAGTGAAGAGCTGTACAGATATCCTGACTTCCTTGAATACGTTTGACTTTGAATAATCAGGACGATTCAGATAGCTTCATGCCACCAGAGATGTTTATTCACCGTGTACTCGCGCACTTATAGCGGAAGGGGCACATGAAAGACGTTCAGAAGGAATCCTTTTCGAAAGATGTCTAAATACTTACCTGTTGAACTGCGAAAGCCCCCCCCCCCCCTCCCTCCCCAGAGTCGACTTAGAAATAATCCCACGTATGGGCTCACAATGAATAATCAGGACGGTTCAGATAGCTTCATGCCACCAGAGGTGTTTATTCGCCGTGTACTCTTGCACTTATAGCGATGTTGTGAGCCCATACGTGGGATTATTTCCAAGTCGACTCTGGGGAGGGAGGGAGGGGGGCTTTCGCAGTTCAACAGGTAAGTATTTAGACATCTTTCGAAGAGGATTCCTTCTGAACGTCTTTCATGTGTCCCTTCCGATTTGTCGAGTATCTGGTATTCAGAAATTACTAAAAGAGGCATGTTTGTGTGTGTGCATGTTTGTGTGTGTGTATGTGTGTGTGTGTTTCTATAATATGTGTGTGTGCACGTGTGTGTGTGTGTTTGTATGTGTGTGTATTCGTGTGTGTTTGTGTGTTTGTGTCTGTGTCTGTGCAAATCTGCGTGCATATTTTCACCTGCATTGATTTCAGGTCGTGCCGAAGGAGAACATAGGCAACGGACGGTACGGGTCGGTCCTGCGTGGCACGTGGCGTGGAGGCCAGGAGGTGGCCGTCAAGATCTTCCAAGCCATGCACGACCGTTCCTACATGCATGAAGTGGACATCTACAAGACGCCGTGGCTGCGGCACGAGAACGTGTTGGGCTTCATCGGCTGCGACAGCCGCGACGACGGTATGAGCACGCAATTCTGGATGGTAATGGACTACTGCCACTACGGGAGCATGCTGGATTACATCACCAATCCCAACGTGCAGCTGACCGTGGAGAAGGCCCTGAAGCTGATGATGACGGCAAGCCGTGGCCTGACGCACCTGCACAGCAGTGTGGCCGGCCCCAGCGTCACCGACTCCAAGAACAACAAGCCGGCGATGGCGCACCGCGACGTGAAGAGTCGCAACTTTCTGGTGCGGCGCGACGGCACCGCATGCATTGCCGACCTGGGGCTGGCCATTCGCGAGAACGACGCCGACATGCCCTGGAACTCGCAGAAGGCGCTGGCGCAGCAGTCGGACATGGGCTTCCGCCGCAACACGACGGACAAGGACAGCGGGCAAGGCTCAATGGGCAACTCACGTGTCAACACGGCCGTGAACGGATTCATCCCGCAGATTCCTTTCAATTATCGCGTGGGAACGCGACGCTACATGGCGCCGGAGATTCTCAACGAGACCATTCGCGTCGACAAGTTTGATTCGTTTCGCCGTACCGACGTGTACTCGTTTGCTCTGGTTCTGTGGGAGGTGTGTCGGCGAACGCACATCGAAGGGGTAGCTATGGAGTACGAGCAGCCGTATCAGGGCATGGTGCCGTCCGATCCCGAGCTCGAGGACGTGCGACAGGTGGTGGTTGTCGACCAGTGTCGTCCCGCCATCCCGGAGCAGTGGCGCGAAGCACGCCACATCTCCAACCTGGTGACGCACCTAGAGGAGGCCTGGTGTGACGACAGCCAGGCCCGGTGCACGATGATGCGCCTGATGAAGAAACTCGAGGGCCTGTATGCCGATGCACAGGCTGCACGCCGTGAGAGCCGTGAAAGTGCTCAAATAGTGCGGGCGGCATATGAGATGCCTGTGAACGTGGAATGAGCACATGTTAACCCAATACTCTATATTCTGTTGCATTCTTTTTCTTGTTATGGAACGATCTAGATACAGATAAAGGCTGCTTGATAATTTTACAACCCCCCGCATCCCTCTTGCCCTAGTAGCGGATCTTGTATTCGTAGAAACTTCGCAAAGAGAATCGGACGCTTTGTTGTTATTATTCCTGTCAGCATATAGGTGTACATATTGGTTTCTTTATCTTTTCCTGGATTAACTCTTCCTCGACCGCACTTGCAAGCTCAGTGGCGGGTCTTTTGAGCTGCTATTACATCATTACCTGTACTGTTTCGTTCTGCTGGTATCTATCCGAAATCTGTAGGCATGTTGCTTCTGATATCACGTAACAGTGAGTGAAGGTATCCCCCCCCCCCCCCACACACACACACGCAAACAGCATAGAGCTCATCTCCAAGTTCTTTTTATTTGCTCTTTCATCAACCTTTTTCGACTTGATTCTAAATGTTTTGTCCTGCTTGAGAAGAACTTGGATTTTTCCTGCATTATCTTTTAGAAATATGGACATTTCACCAACTTGTTCGAGTCCCTGAAGTGTATTTATGAAAGTTGCAGCTCTGATAGTGTGCTCCATAGTTCAACGTAATTTTCAGGTGACGCATACCGTGACCTGATTTTTTTCCAGGGCAAAATGGGGATTTGAGTTCCTGCATGGTCTTTTGAGTATGTCATGATCTTAGACAGCCTGAACATGTCGTATTCAGATAATCTATCAGCGCTGCGTATTCCCTGATGTTGGGACTATCGTTGTCACGTATAGAGGCCCATTTTTGGCTCACCGCATCAATGGTGTGCCCCCCCCCCCCAAACCCCATGGGCGTACTTCAAAGTACTAGTACCCTGCCAATGACATGTAGGTAACCGATCAATCTCCCCTGGAATAAATTTTAGGTATCACCCCCACCCCCAAATTGGGATAAACCGGTTTCCACTGTCCCAAGTATGTATAATCCCCCCCCCCCCCCCCGAAAAAAACTACGTGTCTCTTTTTAAAATTGATTATCTCCCCTGCAAAATGTATTAGGTCCCCCACCAAAAAAAAAGGGTACACTCCTCTCCTTCCTTACTCGTTAGCAGGGTAATCATGATGTCCCGAGATAGTAAAAGCTGTATACATGGACACATGCACCAGGTTTGGCGAGTTCCAGCAACCAGTGCATTGTTACGACAAAGCGGACCATAAAACTATAACAATACAACATGTCATGTATTATAGTTTTATGGTCCGCTTATTATAATAATTATTACAATGTATTGCTATGATTGCGCCGGCTGTGTGAGGTAAGCTAGTTGCAAAATTATGCACCCCAAGTGGTGGGCTAGCACTGTGCACGTTACTCTAAAAAGCCGCTCGGACAAAGGCAGAATAGTCACTTGGATCGCTAAAGAAGGGAAAAAATCATCTCATTATCTCATTTCTCGAAGACCACAGTCATAGTCATACTTGTTATCACCAATAACTTACGCCAAGCAATGCTGGCATATACAACAGTTTTTAAACTGCTTTTAAAACTCACAGTAGCTCTTTGCCTGTCAAAGATACACGTAACACCAGGCATACAAAATCTCCTTTTGTAGATATTCTCCTTATTCTTAAAAAAATGTTATAAAATACTTGACGCGGACAAAAGAAAAATGGTCCAGATCAATGTACGATCGGTAATCACATGGCGCGTGATCAGCCAGCAATCACGCGGACGGCAAAGAAATTAATGAGACGTTTCACGCATCCGTCCAGCTTACCCGACTGAAATAAACAAGATTTGTAAAGCTTAATGACTCTAGACATATGATTGTTATTATCATGATCACTAGAGTTTGGAAGAATACAATAAGATGATAAATAGGACGATACACATACACAGACGGAAGCGAAAGGTTGTGTAGCTGTAATTTCAAGTTTCACGAATTGCAGCAATCCTCAGACATTTGCCATTCACTACTGAATTCTAAACTCACTATGAATTCTCTGCACGCGGGCCTAAACAAGAAACAAAAGGATGATGGAGTCTCGGAAATGTACTCGAATATTTCGAACGCTGCTCTTCCGCTAGTGTTCATGATCCATGACTAAGTGCGCTCCCAGTTGCTGCCAAACTGCAAAAGAGATTACAGTGTCAGAATGGAGGTGTTGACCTAGACCGCCGGTTGCCTCCGTCTCCAGGCGGATGTTTTGTGATCTTTTTCGTGCTGTCCCTGTTTGTGACCGCATTGGAGTCGTTGTCACTCTCTTCATCCCGTAGGCGGTTGTAGTGTTTGCCGTTGTTCGGGCGCGGGGACCATTCCGACGGTTTCTGGCTTCTGCCGGTCTCCTCCACCATGCTGGGAATGCTGGAGGAGCTGCTGGTCTGCGGCAGCCTGGGCCCGACATCGATGATGTTCCTGCAGATGGAGTCAGCTGCTGCTGCAGCAAGCGCTGCTCCCACCTCCGAGGTATTTGTCTCCTCGGGGATTGTGGGGCTTTTTGATCTTCGTTCCGGCGACTGTGTCATAGAAAGAGCAAGAGAAAACAGACAGCAATTCGAATGCAAAGAAGTTAGCTATTGCTACGTTTACATGTTCGAGTTCGAGAGCAAACACCGTAAAGTCCGCTGCAAACGCCCACCCCAGTGGGTCCATACTATTTTCATCTTTTTCAGGTAAATAAAGTTGTACAAAAGCGTCATAAAGAATGAATGTGTACGAGAACGACTGAAACGCCTAAAAACTGCCTGTGTCTTATCAGGAGGCTCTGCAAAAGCGATTTTCATCATCTTGCATCAAATAAAAAGTCCTGTCGTGATTTCCTCGCATTCAATAAATTAGTCGTCTTTGTATCAGATCGTTCTCCTTGTTGAAATGCCGTAGAATCCATCTTTATCTGGTTTTCAAATCATAAAATTTCTGCAGTGCCATGATGTCGCGCTCCCTGAACGCATTGGTGATTCATGGAAGATAGGATTCTTCTGGCGCAATGTGACTCAATGACTTGAGAGGTTGGAGTATTGTAATTGGAAGGAGAACAGGGAGGATGTCAGAGAAGCTACGGCATCAGCTACAAAGTCGCTGCTAACTTGTTGAAAACTCTGGACCGATGTGCACGGGAAAAAAACTTCTTTGCCTGTTGCGTGATTTGAAAGATGGCTTGAAAAACCGTCAGAAGTGCTACCTTTTTATTCGGAAGAAACTCCCGTTTGGATCTGCGAAATAAAACAACAAAAGTCGTAATCATCACAACGAGCTAGCTCATAGCTAGGTCCAGAATAGATTTTGAAACCGGGGAAGTGGACATAGTTTACCGTAGAAAAGAGCTCTCGCACTACGGTTGGAGACTCACTTTCGTACGGTTTCTGTCACTAACAGTGCATGGGGTCAGTGCGTATAGGCCAGCAGATCTTGCAAAAATGGGGTGGGCATTTGCAGCGGACTTTTCGGTATACAGAAATCCAAAAGATATGTCCAAGCAATGTTATTCCATGGTTTCTAGAAAATCTTCTGCACCCAGACGGCTGTCGTATCCATGAAGCAGCTTCGATTTAGAGCTTATGAGTATATTCGCTTGTTACCATGGTGAACCGCTACAGCGATGCAAGGTGAAAAATGTTCATTCTCCCCAATAAGTATAGAGCTTGAATAGTCTATTTGTTTTGTTGCAGGAGAAGTATGCTGTACACCATTGCAGCAGCCCAAACCTAACCGGGTACTCATCCTCCAGCAAATGTTCAGCGTGACAATTAGTACTTTTCAGGTTAGTTGAGTGGACGGATTCAAAGCATCTGTGTGTCGTGTGGGTGGTAGTCGTGAGTCGAACGTCACCTTCAATTTTGCAGCACGTGAGGCCTCAACATTGGCATTGGTTTTTTTTAAACTTTTGTAACTCAATGACAGCGGTTACTTCACTTCAGAAAGAAGGAGAGAGGCCAATTGGGGGAAAAACCAAGGATGTGATGACTAGATATAGCGGTAGAAGTGTAGGGCATGAGATCACCACTTCGGATTGGTACTCACCAGAGGACGTCCAAGTAGTTGCGTTTCTTCAGTGCTATCATCGGCATCAGGAGTTTGTTGACGACCCTTCTGGAGTTTTCCTCTCTGTACGAGATATGATGAGAAAGAAGCGCACAGTCAGTTGAATCCCTACACTACTTGCTACACATAGAGGTTGGTACAAGAACTCGCAAGCATTGTTCAAACTTGAATGATCTTCTTTTGCGAACCAATAAAACTTTCGAAAATTTCAATCGAAATCGATTGTTTTTGTGCCGTTGCAAATATCGCTTTTTGGACGAGCCAAACCGTGGGATAAAGACAGAGTTCTTGAACGCTGGATAGTTGCACTAAATTGTTCAAACTTAACCAAACCGATTTAGTCGGCTGCTGTAGGGTGGGAGTGGTTCCCGTTGATCGTAATGCTTGGGGGGGGGGGGGGCAGCTCAGTGCAAAAATTGTGTAGATCATAACATCATTTAATGATGTCATGATCTACACTTGACTGTTTGACAAGCAATGAAAACCTGACCTGTACAGCAAAATGGAATTTGAACGATATTTTCTCCCATGATGAAGGCCGAACTATGAAGATTTACTGCACAGTTATGTAAGCTGTCTATAGGGGAGGGGGTTGTGGCCCGCGAAGAGGACACAAAATAATTTTATTATAATCCAAAATGACTCGCGTTCGAACTCGTTATAAAAGTTGAACAGTCGATGTGACTCATGATGATGTGATCACATTGTTTGCCAGCAGGTGCCACAATCCTACGTGAGCTAGGCTAGAGAGGTTAATAACAAACGTACCGGGGGAGATTGCGACTTGTTGCGAGTCCGTGCGGCTTTGTACTGGCTTGCGTCTGAACCTGATCTGCTGCTGCCATCCTACAATATGGAATTACAACACAGACTGTTTGGTTTATCAAGCGTGGTTATTATAATACCATGTGCATTCTGGTGGCGACACATTTAGGAATGCGGGCATGTGCTGTGTGTGTGTGTGTGTGTGTGTGTGTGTGTGTGTGTGTGTGTGTCTGCCTTGAAACACCCAACCTCCGCATCATGAACTCTAGTGGCTGAATCACTCCCTGCCTACAACAGCAGCGGTGGCATTCCGCCTGACGCTCACCCATTATACTGTGCTGGAACAGGCAGACTCTGATCACCCTAGCACTCAGCCATTCAGCTCGCTGCTCCTATACACTGATCACTGATTACTGAACTCCTGCCAGAAATTGGCTAAAACAGAGTCATGCCGGTTTCGTCATGGTGTGCAGACCCCCCCCCCCCCCCCTGTCACAATCATTATCTCTCGCGCAATCACACATCACTGCCCGAAACAATCTCCCGTCTAGATTACTTCCAAACAAACAAAACACAGTTGTATCCTATTGTTCGGGCTAGGCCTATCATTTTGGATGTCGAGGTCACTGCCAGGAGATGCTCAACTGCTTATGTTTACTTCGTAAAAACGTTCTCAAAATGTTCATACTGCAAAAAGGCTTTACTGAAAAATCCTGTGAGTCAATTGTTGTGGAATTCAAGTGACTGACCATGATGTCGGGGATTGGTGTGACTGATCCATCCCCTGACCGTTCCAGGGAGCTGCGACTTCCTGCTTTAGCTAGAGCTCGCTGCCGCTGAGAACACACAAGACAAAAATATCTTTAGCTTCCAAGCCAATTGTACAAATGCCGGCAATATTTTCATGAATGGAATTCTTTTTGCGGGTATTTCACTAATTTGGATATAAAATTCTGCTGAGACGCCGTAGCTTGCAAGGCCGCATTATAATACTTTGCAACTGAATTACGACCCAAAAAGTCCATCCTCAATTCAAGAAAGATTATTGGTGTTTTACATTAATTTTATCCATAATTTGTGTGCTTTTCACTAATTTGAAACTCGGCTATTGAGCCAATAATAAAAGTAGAAAGGAAAGGACATATGGAAACGAGTTAAGAGTAACTCTCCACGACTTTTTGGCTTGTACAATTCGTTCTCGCAAAGCTTCCCCCTTCTTTACTTATCTTTGATATTTATGACCCACCCAAGTTGGGTGGTGTGCTGCTTTGCTGCTTCGAATTGTAGTTAGACTGCTTTGTCAAATCGCCTACTGGTCTCGTCATCGTCCAGTAACAATCGACATTCTTCGTTCCATTGGGACTGTGGCTTGTGCTCGTTTTCGTTGCGCTTGCCTTCCCCTCTTTGGTCTTTCCATAACCTTGAACCTTCCAAGTTGGAAGGCTGTTGGTTAGCGCTACGTAGATGTGTTGAAGCTAGGTGTCAGGACGTCGAATGTCTCAGTACTCTGTCAGTTTTGTGCCTAGTTGTTGCACTTTCTGACTGTATATAGTACCTAGTTACAGTGGTGGAGAGTTACTCTTAACTCGTTTCCATCTGTCCTTTTCCTTTTCACTAATTCCTCTGTCCTAGAAAAATCTATAAAAACGAGAAAAAAAGAAAAAGGAACCACTAGTTGCGCTACAATGTCCACTAGCACCACCAATTACTAAACAATCAGCTTATGTGATAACATGGCACTTTGCTTTATAGCGTAACTTGTAGTTCGTTGGTCTTTTTTTCTTTTATACAAATATATCCTTGGCTCTCCATCGCAGTCCATCCTAGAGAAATCAAAGATGATCGTGTCATGGTACAAAAACATTTCCCCACTAAGTGGGAAAAAAAATAAAGTGGTCCCGGATGATGATAATAATCATTAGGAGTAAGTGGCCATCCGTAAAATTAATATCGACAGATTATCACAAAACGAATTAATTCCGTTTCCAACCAACCCTTCCCTCCCTACCCCTCAGAACGTAAAAAAAATGTTGACATAATACATGTACAACAACAGTTGCAAGTGCTTCTCTAATTGGCCAGAGGCCATCGTGAGAATAAAAGATTAAAAAATATTTAAAAAAGGTGCGTTACTGCTCCTATAGGCATGGACGGTGTGCATGAATCCAAGTTTCTAAAAAGAAATTGGTCAAACCCCTCCCCAACCCATAACGATTTTGTGTTGTGAGAAAAATGATATTTTAGACGACCCCTCAAGCTCTAAACATGCGCCAATCATATTCTACTCACATGGGATCTCTGAGGGATGGGTGATTCATTGTTTGCGACTGATCCTGTCCTGCTGCTGCCCTGTAGTTCAAATCATGCATGAAAAGATTCAATGTTTTGGGTAATCCACTGCCATCCTGATGGGTTTTTTTAAGGATTCGACCATACCGGTTGTATTGTTGCATTTGCTATAAGGAAGATACATGGATAGAAACTACCTGTGCCACTAACTCCTCCCTGAGGGCCTGCATGACTCCGCCTCACTAACCTTCACTGTCTCTCTCTCCCTCTTCGTCTGCCTGTCTGCCTGTGTGTCTGCCTGTGTGTCTGCCTGTCTGTCTGTCTGTCTGTCTGTCTGTCTGTCTGTCTGTCTGTCTGTCTGTCTGTCTGTCTGTCTGTCTGTCTGTCTGTCTGTCTGTCTCTCTCTCTCTCTCACACACACACACACACACACACACACACACACGCACATGCACACACACACGCACAATCTGTTCTTCGCTCATGTGCACACTCGGTTTCAACATATTGTTCCATCTATCTGCCTTTAAGCTCACTCATTCCATTCCTCTCTAGCTCACTTCTCTCCTTTCCCTTTCAAACATTAACTATTCTACTTCACAAATGCACACAAACATTGCACTCCTCAGAACTGGTAGAAATTAGCTGGGTGGAGAAGCCAGGGAAATGGATTGGGCTTCACTATGCTGTTCGTGCTAGGAGCTGTGGGGACGAGGTGAAGGCGTTCTCAATGCTTTTTTTTGCAGACAACAAGGAATTGAACACGATGCAGGAAATATGCAGGTATTACTATATTCTATGGCCGATCCCGATGTCCTTCAACGGCTTTAACTTACGGTATCGCCCTCATCGAGCTGTGACTGAAGGCTGCGACGGTTAGGGTGAATGACCTTGATGGGTGGAGTACCAGCTGCAGAGTTGTGAGATATCGGCTGTCCCTGCTTAAGCCCCCTCGTGTCCTCTACAGTATTGGCTGTACCCAGCATGACATCTTCGACCGGCGAGTTGAAGGCCGTTTCTAATGACACTGCTATAGTGGGTCCATGTGATGTTGTCCTCTTCCCCTGAGCAAGCAAGGGGTCGGTCTCGTCGGCGTGTGATTTAGGGGTACGTGGCCGAGTCTGCAGCAAGGAGGTTCGCATACGCACAGCGCACGGTATAGACAGCACACACACACACACACACACACACACACACACACACACACACACACACACACATGCTTAGACAAATTCAAATGTGCACATGTATATATGTACACACGAGCGCACAGGTACAGGCACAGTCTGTGAAACACATAGACGTGCATACGTATGCACACAGACACCCCCACCCTAAAACCCCCACACACACACGCACACAAACACACGGGCGTGCATCTACAAGTACACCCATATCAGTTGAACACTTGGCAGAATACTCTACACATTTCTTATCCGCTGTCAACGGTAGCACATTTATCAACTGTCAGCAAGTTCTCATAATGGTCATTTTCACATGTAGGCAGCCACCAAGTTCTGCATCATTAACTTGAACTTATTTTCTGCCCAAGGGTTATCCTTCTAGTCATGCAACCTTTCAGATTTTTGCAAAAGAATAGCCCTGGCTCAAGATCTCTTCCACAAACAGATAAAGTAATCGCAGGGAGGATGTTCACTTGGCACAGCTCTGTAGGTTTTAACCATTTTTAACTAAAATATTGCTTGTATCCACAACATCTGAGAACCAGTGGAAACCATTTTTAACTGGCTAGGCTGTAGAGTAGAAATTGCCTTCTCGGCAGTAAGCATGCGCTGGAAGCCTAGACATTTTTGAAAGCCACAGCCTTGGTCCTATGCTTTCAGACTGGTTCCTTCAGGCTTCCAACTCAATGTACTATTAATAGTCTATTATAGTTACACAGAGTAAGATCTTTTTAAAGTTTCTGTTGAGAGCGCAAATGTCCTCTTTCACGTCCCTCTCCAGGAGAGTGTTTTTCCGAAAAGTGTGTAATAGATCAGACCACTCGGCAGCACTTAATGCCCTGTTGGAGGGGAGGGGAGGGGGGGGGGTAGATTTTAAGATAGAATAGTGGTGTTACAATGAGAAAATGGCTCTGTCTGATGAGACACCTGTTGCTCGAATGTGCTTCAACTATGAAATAAACGCAAACTTACACGGTTGTTTCCGCCCGGCAGTGGAGCGGTGACTTGCCGCCGACCAGGCTGACCTTGTCTTTCTCCCGTCACGTGTGTTCCGCTCTGGTTGAGACGGGGGTCCTCGACACCGATGTCGTTGGAGAAGCTGGCAATGGCGTTACCCGCGGTGCTACTGGCTCGACTGCTTCTTGCGCTGTTAGGTTCACTCCTGCAAGGACTGCCATCGTCTGCTCCTGGGCTAGGAATGGCACCTGTCCCTCGCAATGCACGCGCCTGGGCTGATCCCCCATGTACTCCATCATCAATCAGTGGCCTAGCCTCCTCTGGCGGCCGCGGGTCATCAGGCCTACGCCTACGCGTACATGTACGCCTACATGTACGCTTGCAGAGCAAGAGAGAATACACGACTAGGACTAGAAGTAGGAGGAATCCAATACCGGCGACTGATCCGATGGCAGCCGTCTGGACAGTGTTCCACGGCGAGGCGGGGGATTCGTCCACAGCGAGTCGGAACACCAGCGCCGGAGGGTCGGTCATGGTAGCATCCTGGTACCGGATCATGTAGTCACCCGGCAGGCCATACGTCATCGTCTCCATTACCAAGCAGTTGCTGTTGTCGCCATATACGGACGCGTACGGCTGCATGTTCACTCTGTTGTTTTTCAGCTTCGGTGCCATCAGCCTGACGGGCTTGTGGTCAGTCGCAGCAATGGCGTAATCCCAGGTGGGGCTGAACGGCACATCTACAGGCATTTAAGCAGAAGCGAACATCACACTGCAAGACTCATTCTATTAGAAAGCAGGGGCTTTCCCTTTTTTCTATGCCACCTCCGAGGGGGTTCTTATTTAAGAGGGGCTTCAATTTGAGAGAGAACAGTAGCTGTCGGGAAATGCTGAAATACTCCGCAGAAAACAAAAAAAGTTAACAATGAAGTAGATGAGATGCCAGACATGTTGTATTACAATGAACCTACCGTCTGATGTTGCCTGCACGCAGAACGCCTCACCAAGCTTCACTGAGTACGATGTGTCCGATGTGAATCCATTGCCATTGTACTTCCCATTCGACGGGGTCGGAAGGGGCATTGGCTGGTTCCGGGGCATAGCGATTTGCTTACAGGAGGACCTGTCGTCGCACATTTTACACTTGTTGGGAGCGAGTTCAACAATAAAATCCTGAAATCCGGCCGGTCGCCCGTCCGGGTGATAATACTGGCAACGATATCGACCGGCGGTGGTTTCGTTTAGGACATGTATATGCAGAGAGCGGCTGCATTTGTTGAAATACGCGTCGTTGAATGGTTTCAGCCCACTGTCACCGACGTCACAGCTGCAGTAGCTAAAGTCATTCCACGCCGCAGCATACACGAACTCTGGTCCAGCATCCTTTATCAGATTTAGTGCCTCGTATCCACCACCCGCTACCTGAACATACCACTCGTCCTTGTCGTGTGGGTTCGATGTCGCGCAGGGTACTCCCAACAGCTTGTCCGCGTGTATGTTCGGACAGAACAGGTGGAGATCTGTAGTCCCTGTGGCTGCCGTGATCAGGCATACAGAGTCATCCTCCAGGACATCGTCAAAGTTCCCTGTAGCGACAAAGGAGCACAAACCAGAGTGAAAGCAGACTGTCAGATTGATGCGGGGAGCAGGACATAAGCTGATAAGAGGCACATTTCCTAATTCTCATATCCACCATTACGATCGTCACCGTATTTCCCCGTAAGTTAGTACGTACTAACTTTCGAACTTAGCAGCCACATGAGTACTAACTTTCGGGGGTGGTACTATCTTTCGGGGAGTACTTTTTTTGTCGTTGCTTTACAATAGTGGTGTGCACGGGTAGTCCGGTACCCTTGCTACTCGTGAGGACCTCGGGTAGACGGGTACAGAATAGTACCCGAAAACCCGAAGTCGCAGATGACATCATGTACAGTGCACGTGTACCAATTCCCCTCCGCATGTCTACCCAGTGTGTTAGGGCATGTTCGATTGGTAAGATCGGGATCCCAATCCACCGAATTCACTGGATTCGCACGGAATTGTCGAATCCGGATCCTTCGGATTTGGATCTGGTCAACCCACCTCGAGGAGCAGGGTTGACCGGATCCAACAGATCCAAATGTGACCTTTGTGCGTATATGGCGAGTAAAAATCTTTTTTGCACACATTGTGGTACGCACACGTGGATCGAGATAGAGTTTGTTGACTTTTTGTACGACGCACGCGATGAGTACGACTTTCAACCTTTTGGGTAACTTGAGAGCACCATTTTATTACTTTGTCAACATGGCAACAGTCAAGGTCCAAATTAAAGTGTTCAGTTTACTCTGAAGGATCCCAGATCCTGATCCTTACCAATCGAGCATTGCGGTGTTACCATGGAAACATTACCCGATCTGGTAACCTCGCTACCCGTGGAAAACTACCCGAACCCGATACCCGAAGAAAATGCTATCCGACTCAGCCCTAGTTTAAATACACTGTGCTATATTCTTGCCACAGCCGTCAGTGGGATTTGAAAGTTTTCCATTCATCGATGCATCAACTTCACATCATCACACGTGCAGCTGACGTTGTGGCCGCACATACGTAGCACCGCTACAATGTCAGCCAGTCTCACCTTGCTCTTGAAAGAGTGACCGATCCACCGTGCACATGTTGTCCTGGCACGACGGCGTCTTCTCCTCGTACAGGAAGTAGCGACATTTTTGCGACTTGACAAACTTCTGGTGGCGCAACTCGGTCGAGTTTGTGGCTCCATCGGCCTCAACTGTGGCCGATCTGACTGACATCGAGAGAGCTTGGCTTACAAACACTGCTAAAATCGCGAGGTGCGTGAGAATACTGAAGGTCTTCATCATGCTTGTCCTGAGCCAACAGATGTAGGTGATTCCCTGAAATATCGAGAATGTCACAAACGGAAGGACAAAGTTACTGAAGTTTCATAGAAGTCTCGCTTACATTCAAACGGTCACCACTTGAATATTGCCGTCAGCGATATAATACATGTAGCCTAAGACAACAACACAATACACTTTAGACGAGAGACTGCTGTAGAGTTCGGGAAAAGGACGACTGACGACACATTATCCAGACATTACAACGGGAACAGGTAGGTTGGGGGAACGACATTTATTATAGACGACGAGACAAGAGACCAAGACGAACGAAACGACTACATTGAAGAGTGAGAAAAGAGAGCAAGTCCGAACGGCAAGATAAAGGGCCTGGGTAGCTATGGAAAATGTGGGCGCGCAAGTAGCTACCCAGGCCAATGGAACAAAAGGAGACAAAAGGTGAGTACGCAAGTGCATGCAGGCCAGCTAGAAAAGGTACGGGAGGAGGTACCTAACACTACGGATATTTTACAGCAAGTTCAGCAACCCTCTCCTCCCTCTCTGCGCTCAGTGCGCTGCCACCTTTTCATTCTACATTCAAGTGTGTAATATGGTTGACCAGCAATTATTGTTTCGTTCACATTCCAACCTTACAGAAGGCGGAGTATCAAGCTGCTTACGTTAGCGTCGCCACTCGTCTTACGAGGCCCGGCGTAGTACCGCCAGTCCTGCACCCTGTGGAGATCTGGCAAGCCTGGATGATTCTATCCGCTTTTCAAACTGGGTAGTTTGGACGATACCGCGATACGATCTTATCTACCCTTCCAATCGTTCAGCAGTGCGAATGTGTCCGACTTATCGGCTTCGTAGCAGTACCTTCAAATTTTAAACTCTAGCAGAGTTGATAGGTGGATAAAGATAGAGCGGGATATTCTCAAACCGGTGGACCTGGAACACTTAGGATAAATAGTTTCAATGGAAACTTTTTCGACTTTTCATCCACGCTATCATCAGTATCTCAACCTCCTCTCGCCTGACTCGCTTTTGCACATGTGAGGTCTGCATTCGCCGCTAAGGACAGGCGAACAGGTGGCCTGCGGATGCGAAGGTTAGTTTGTGCTGATCTGCAGCTGACCCAGTCGCACACGATCGGCGTACTTTTGCCCTCGAATCACTGACCTGTCGACATTGTCAGCTTAGCTCAGGCCAGTTACAGGGCTCCATGGCATGGATTCTAGATCTAGCCGAACGACCAAGACGCGGCTTGCACGTGCGTTTGGAAACAACGGTACTATAGACTACTGTATACTAGAGAGTAGAGTACAGAGTAGCATGCACCAGATACACAGCAAAGCCAACAAATGCAAGGGGATGATGACTCACGCGTCCCGCAGACCTGAGGGTATTTTTAACTATTTTATTCCGTAGCTGACGCATAGTGGAGGATCCAGTTGTCAAAGAGGAGTTGACTGCAGGACTCGTCTAGCCTTGTCCAAGAATCCTGTGGTGTGTCAAGTAGGGTCTGCACTGCTTGCTGGCACGACCTGTTATGCCAGGGGAGACACAACAGGACGGGTATGGACTGGGAACTACCGGTATGGGAATATGGGATGGAGTCCCGCATTGCTTACGGCAGCTAGCTGTAAATGAAAATAGTTCACGACGTGGCCACTTCTCGCGAACTCAGCCTTGCACTTGCAGTTACATGCTCGACCGGAGATGAACATGATCGTCATTGTCACACGCCAGACTTTGGCCTTTGGGTTCCAGTAAGGCAGTATGATTGAAGTATACGGAACCTGCGATGCGTAGTCTTTCATTCTACCCGGAGTGAGACTGTGGGGCCATGACACGCAATGCCCGCATTACAAACGCATGCACAAGATGCGAACTGAACCAGACGTGGCGAACTACTTGAACGAAACGGCTGTGTGTATATCATGGAGCGGTTCATTGTGCACATCGTTGATCCATATTCGCTGGGCAATGTTCTACAGCTGCTAGCATCGATCTCCAGTATATTGTAGCTTCTAGGAGCATTCTTGAGGGGTTCAAAAGGTCACCTTTCCCTTGGTCTGGACTAGGTAAGGTTTCGAACACATTTTGTTAGTTTAGGCAGGAGAACAGAATCAATTCTACTCAAAGTCCCGAAGTCGAATTCCCATTGTGGACTCACACGGAGCAATACAAAATGCGACGTTGAACATATCAGGGACCTGATCACCTAACCATTCCTCCCCCAAATGCTGGCGAGAGGTTGGTTCCTTTGAGGAGCATGATGAAGGATGAGCGCAGGAGTTAGCACGATTGCCACCAATGTCAATTATGTGCATAGTGATGCAAGCTGCGTCTCTATCTCTCGGAGGACACTATAAGGCCGAATCTAAAACTGTGCAGACACTCTCTTTCCATCAAGGTGCGCTGCCCAAAATCAGCTCAGAAACAAAATAAGCACCCGATCCTTTTTTGTCACGTCAGCATCATCATGTTCCGAGTAGCTCTGTATGGCTTCAAGCAAGATTTTGAATCCAATACTTTGCCAGCTATCGATTGGCCTTTTTACCACGTTAGTTTCGGAATCGTGTGGGAAAGTAAGCAATTCCGCTACCGTACTCCCATTCTACCACTACTCATCAGTCGATCATTACTCACCTTCAATGGTCTATTTATTACGAATACGCCCCCATCCGTTTTGATATCAAATTTGCGAGCCCTGGCCCGTCATCAGGAAGTACAATCCACTCTTTGAATTCTACTCTCTAATAATTATCAGAAGGAGAAGTGCCCATTCATCTGTTCATAGCAAAGACATTTAGCGTGACTGTTGTACAGCTGTACATGTACATGTATCAGAAAAAAGCGATGAGTGTTGTGTAAAATGCCAACGGTGGAGTTACTTCTCACTCCAAGTAGAAACGGTCCATTCCACAATATTGGAACCGCTTCAGTTCAAAGCTGGCTGTGGTCAACTACTCCTCGATTTATGTCTTGTTGCCCCCCTCCCTTTTTGTGTTTCTATTCCTGTATTCCAATACATATGAACCAGGAAGTCGGTATTTTACGTCTCCCTCGTATGAACGCAGACGATTAGCATCCGAAAACCACCCGTTCTAGCATTACTGGAGAAAAGTTGTAAAGGACGGCTTCAATGCAAAAAAAGGCTGTGTTGGGATCCACTCAATGTTGTTCTCAGAATTCAACCTACTTCTCACCCCCCCCCCCCCCCTTTCCCATCCCCTGATTGCAATATTATTACGATACTGGTAAACCAACACAGGGTCTATTACCAAACATTTGCAAGGACACAATGCGGTGTTGAGAGCCAAAACAAATAGAGGATTGGTTGAAGTAAAGTTGAGCCACTGTCCTGGGCAACATATGTTACAACATTACTAAAAAATATACAGTATTAAATTTGCCAAGCCATAAACATTTTTCGATCACCAATGCGGTTCATTGTAACATAAAATTCTTCAGGCGAATGCAAAGCACCCACGCCTCATCACTGAGCAGGCGGAATAGTGGCGGTCCATTCTTCAGCATTGCAAGCTGTTGAATAGTGCAATCCCAGCACAAGTTGCTCTGGCTTCTGCTGTAACATTTCTATCATCACCTCTGGCGATGGGCGTCAATGGTCACTGAGCAATGACCAACTTAAAATTAAGGAAAAAACTACTAAAAAAAAGGAGAGAATAGAATCATTGTCTTGTGCACTTACATGTAGAATGATGGTATAGCAAGAAGACATCAAGGCAGAAATATAGTTTGGTGTGAAAAGGTGCAAATCAAGTTATGGAGTGGTGTGCTGGTAAGCATGCACAATTGAGATTGTGATGGTATGGAAAGACTAAAGTGAAAAAAGTCTGCAGAGTGCAGGCAGCAAATTTTGTGAATTACTAGCCGCTTTCGACACATGTACATGTAAGTACTCTTTTCTTTGAGAAAAAATTCCCGAAATTGAAAATAGAGGCCATCTATTATTGTCTTTGTACTGGAAGGCAGCGACAAGAATGGGCATACCGGGCACATTGGCTTGGCATGCACACAAACACACACACACACTCAAACACGAGCGCACACACACACACACGCACACACCTACACACACGCACACACACACCCACACACACACACACACACACACACACACATGCACACACACGCACACGCACACACAGATAATGTCACTTGAAATGACGCATTCATGAGCGACATGCACAGAACCTGCTTTGAAGAGTGCGCGCGCACTCATCATTTTGTTGGCAATCAAAATGAAAATAATTTGAGGTACTGCATTGCGATTTCAAGTTTTGGTTACAACAAATTCAAAGAGTTTCACATGGCGGCGTGGAACGAGACCGACCAGTGCCACCATAGTTTGGTGGTGGCTTGGTGACAAGCTTCCGCTTGCCGTCGTCGTTCACAGGGAGGCCATCTTGGTTATCGTCCTCCAAGCGTGAGTACTCCGCACCACCTGGCAAGTGCTTTTTCAGGGTGGAGAATCGCGGCTTCTTGTTCCCCTCTCTCTGATCAGCCTGCGCGGGATGCTTCTGCTGCTGATGGCTGACGGCGGGGATGTGAGAGGCACTCCTGGTTTGTGGCAGTCTAGGCCCGCCCTCCATGATATCACTGCTGAAGTCGCCGAGTGCCGCTGATGCCGTGCCCTTCCCCGCCACGTCACCGGCATCTGGCATCGCAGTGCTGGCACCTGCAGATGCAGCCGCCTCCTCCACGATTGTGGTGGGACTCCTTGTTGACCTCGGTATTGGCTGGGTGCACAGAACGCAAGATCAGACAGAATTTACGGTTTAACTCGGATACTGAGCCAGTAAATCGAATTAAAATAAAATAAATCACATGGAAACGAGTTATGAACGTCGTGGATAGTTGCTTCATAACCCGTTTCCATGTGATTTCTTCTATTTTAATTTTAGAATTCATAGTGTGTATATTTTTGCCCGCTGTAACATGTGTTGTGAGACTAAGTAGCATATGATCCATAACAATGAGAACAAGGTTCCTTCTACAGTAAAACCTGTAACAAAAGACCACCGTGACTAGCGACCAGCCTGGCACCACAGACCACTTCGCCAGGCATGGATGGTCTCGCATTCATTATGGTTGTGCGAACCTCTAACTAAGGACCACCTGTCACTGATGACCGCTTTCTCTGGCCCCAAGCGGTGGTCGTTAGTCACAGGTTTTACTGTGCTTGACTGGTATTAACGTTGGAGAAACTGCTATTTCAGGCATGAGACTGCACTGTGAGAATTCCTTTGCCACGTGCCTTATACGCGCAGTGGCTCTTTAAAGTATGATCCCAGGTGGGAAAGTCGGCTGGAGTTTTGGCAGAAAGGTTATAATTTTTTTTTAACTTCAGAAATAAATTGACTTCCTCCTCGTCATCGAAATTGTCGCAGTTTGACTAGTGACTTGTCAGTTGTTACTGACAACTCCATAAGCTAAGCCATTCAAAACTTATTATACAGTATGATAGCCTGAAGACTATTGTAACGTTCCAGGACAGTTGGACTGAGAGTTTTCATGCAGAGATGAAGTCCTCGTCGTCGCTGATGTCAATGGACGCAAAAATATCGTTCTGAAATATTTCAAGGAAGGTTGAAAGTTGGTCGCGCCTCATCTCAAACGCTTTGACTTTCTCCACAGGACAAGAGCTGCTATGCTTGTCGTCTGCTAGCTCTGGATGATTTCTACTTCACCACCAACGAAGCCTAGTAAGAATACACGATCGTTGCGAGGTCGGTTGATTACCGTCGGCGGAATCACCTCGATCTTTAAATGAACTTTTTTTAGCCGTGGCATGCCCATTTATTTTAGCTGTGTGGTCACAGCTCATGCAGGTAAGTGTACTATCACGTCCAGAGCGCCTTCTTTTTCAGCATCACTGGTATACCATGGCCCGGTACGGCACCTGCGCGTGCATCACTAGCACTACATGTAGAGTCTACACGGCTCTTGCAGGTACAATCATGTACTGAGTGTCTCAGCCAGAGCGACAAATTTTATCGCTGTTGCAAGCATTTAGTTTGCTGACCCCTCGATGTTTCTCCAAGCGCTGCCACTTGTTCCACGAAGTCATTCTCACCCCAGCTAAGGTAAAACAGTGATGAGGCTTGAGTGAATGGCCATCAGCACGAGAAATGTGCAGGCTGCAACGCCTGACTGATCTCAGCGGGTCGAAATTACCATCACAGCGACATCAGCGAAGAAATTGCGTCTAGTTCAAAAATTCCAGCTTCCAATAACAGAAAATAGACCTTTGCCGTCAGCCTATACTGATGACTATCGCCTATGTCGAATTCCTTGCCTCTGGTACGAGTGCTGGAGAGTAAATACCCCGTTTTATATCAAAAGTCAAACTGCGACAATTTCGATGACGCGGAGGAAGTAATTTATTTCCGGCTACAGTACCCTACTGGTAACACACGTTCACTGGATGCACTATAAGACCATACATTTTCTACGCCATAATCAAATGACATGGTGCTCTCAAAATTGGGGTAAAATTTATGTATGGAATATACCATGAGCACGAGGGGTATACTGCTGAATATTTTTGACGAATGCGTTAGCACGAGGGGAGATATGAGGGACACCGTGTACACAGAGTACGAATGGTATCACCCATTTATCCCATGGTGCTGTCCCAAATAGAGCGTGACCAACACTAAAAGGCTGCTATATTCACTCTTGGCATGAACCGTATGAACCCAGACGGGTATATTATGGAACCGAGTAAACAACAGGGGTTTATTATTGTCCCTAATGGGTTACAATTATCACTCTACATACGCTAATTTCAGAAAGTTTCGGTGCTCAATATTTTCGGTATGAGGGCAGAAGGCCGGTTTGGTGAATACAAATTTTCGGTACAGAGAAGCAGTTCCCTATTGGATTATGTGTGCTAGTGTTTGATCGAAATTTTAGGTACGAAACAGATGCAACGAAAGTACCGAAAATAAAAGTACACCTGAAATTTGTGAAATTACAGTACTCTGCTCAGAACACCCGCTGCTGATTGGCTGAAATCGCTCAAAACCGTATCGTGCCATGAGATACTATGCATCGTGGGCAGCCAGAGGAGGCCAATGCCATGAGGTGCAAGGTTAGGCTCACCTGCTGCCTGGACAGAGGATCAGGTTCGCTGCTACCCTGGTGCATCGCAGCCACTGCAGGATTGCCTGCAGCCAAGTTCACTCTCTGCACAAGAACAGCAGAAACCAAAAAAGTAACGGATTTATTGTGGCGGTTGCCAACTCTCAGACCAGATACACACAGAAAACCCTCAAATGCAGTGAAGCTTTCCCAAACCGGTCAGGTTGGGACCGAGCATTGTCTGTAACTAGGGACTTTCCCTAACTAACAACACACATACCTACTGTATGCAAGTATACATTATCCATGTCAGACAATCAAAAGGTTTTGGGGCGTGTTATCATCAATTTTTCGCAACTCTGGATCGGTCAGAAAGGTGCCCGGTAGATGGACCTGCCTGGGCCAGGGGCGACCGTTTTAGTCGAGTTTTACAGCACCGCTTCGATTCATCCTAGTGTCATGTACATGCAAATAATGACTAAACATGTTCTGTGAAATCCAAAGTTAAAATTAAACATGACTGCCTGCAGGAGGTAAAATCCATGATGCCTCATGCTATTAATGCAACACACAATAGGACTGAGTCGGGTAGCATTTTCTTCGGGTATCGGGTTCGGGTAGTTTTCCACGGGTAGCGCGGGTACCCAATCGGGTAATGTTTCCATGGTGACACCACAATGCACCCCTTCCCTTACACACTGGGTAGACAAGACCAGGGTAGACATACGGAGTATTACATGAACTTGTACACGTGCACTGTACCTGATGTCATCTGCGACTTCAGGTTTTCGTGTACTATTCTGTACACGTCTAACGGAGGTCCTCACGCATAGCATTGGTACCAGACTACCCGTACACACCATTAGCACAGGCATATCGTACAGATTAATGAGCAAAAGCCGACGGTGTTTCGCCTTCAATAACGTTCCAACAAACTTACTGAATGGAAAAGAGCCAAATGTGGACATGGCGGAAGCTCGTGAAGAAGGAGAATTTTCTGATTCAGGATTGAGAGTTGTTATGTGGATGGTTGATTGTAGTCACTCATGCCTGTTGGAGTCAACTGAAATCAACATGCCTCGCATACGAAACACACATACCTGTTGTGATCTTGAGGGATTCCTGGTGTCCCGGTATTGGCTGGCCTCTGAGCCGGACCTGCTGCCTTCCTGCAACATTGCAACACACGGAGAAAGGTACGAGCGGCTGAATTGTTTCTTTTGAACAACATAGCTGCTCGCCCATGAGGGTGTGATTGCAACGAAATATCAAGCAAGTCAGTTAAGTAGAGCATACCAGGGTTAAACTTCGTGCATTCCTTCGATATCCCAAACACCAGCCACCAAAAAACAAGGAGTGCAATCAGCTTATTAATTACATATCTAATCTTTGAAGATGAAAAAGGTAAGACTCTCTTCAGTTTTGCCATATTCACCTCCCTGAAACTCATGAATGTTTGCATTGAGCTCAACTTACAAAATGCAAGGTGGAGTGGTCACCGGTGCGATCCAGAGAGCTCTGGTTGCTGGGTCCGGCAAGATTGGACTGTCGCCGAATCTAGAGGAGTGAAAAGCAAGGTGTACTTCCCTGTCAGTAGCAATCAAAATAGTGAAGTACATGCCTATCGAAATGAATCGTTCACATGCATCCAGTGTGCAAAGATCCTTGCATTATACTGCGGCACGATAGTTTTAAAATACCAATCATTAAAGAAAATGTTGAGATGGAGAACGATTTAGGATTGGATTGGAGGAGTCGCTACCACCGTACATATAATCATAGTATGATACAAATCACTGCTACGCATACAAGTGCATCCCATTCTTCCAAATTGAAGTGAATAATTCGTACCCTGGGAGACAAATGATCTGTGATGTGGGCACCGCTATACGCGCTGGCGTTAGATGAAAGTCGGCTGCCACCCTATAGAAAGAGAATGCATTCAGCACACAGGCACTGTGTGACGTTACATTGAAGGCGATATCTCTGGAGAATCGCAAGATATTGCACGCGGACTGTGCAGCGTCTAATACATCTTTCCAGGTTGTTGCTTCATGCCTCAGACCTTGAAAACAAACCCGAAGCATTTGGTAACTTAGACAACCTAGTGTTGGGTTCTACGTCACAAGGCCCCGTAATTCATTCCACTGTGACACAATTTTTGAAAATATCAGTCATCAAGTGAACTTTTGAGATCGAGTTAGGATTGGATTGGGGGAGTCACTACCATCGTGCATTCAATCATGATACAAATCACTGCTTCACATAAAAGTATATCATATATTTCCTGATTCAAGTGGATTTCGCTTACCCTTGAAGACCCGTGATCTGTAAAGTGGGCACCACTATATGCGCTTGCGTTAGATGAAGTTCGGCTGCTTCCCTATGGCAAGAAAATACAATCCGACAACAGGCATTGTGTAACGTAATATTGAAGGTGATATCTCTGGAGAAGCGCAAGATATTGCAGGCGCACTGTGCAGCGTCAATTTATCTTTCCAGGTTATCGTTTCATGCCTCAGACCGCGAAAACAAACTCGAAGAAATTAATATCTCTGACAACCCAGTATTGAGTTCTTCTTCACAAGGACCCGTCATTCAGCAGCCAGTCCCTAAACTAGCAATTTGTGTATGTGTAAGCTTGTATATGCATAATTATGTGTGTGTGTGTGTGGGGGGGGGGGTGTTGTGAAATTCTAACCAACAAAATAACTTACGCAGTCTCCCACGCTGATTGTGGAGTCTCTCGCGTTCGGCCTCGGAGCAATGACTTTCACGGAATCCACTCCGTTCCCAGAGTCAGTGGAAAGTTCCTGCCCTCGTTGCAGTCCCCGACTTGGATCCACATCTTGTGGCGGTTGAGAGAAGCTTGTCTCTGCACTTCTGCCGGATGGGACAAACCCTGGTGCACCGACCGCAATTTTCGCATTTGGCTTCGGAGCCTGTTTACAAACACACATAGAGACACATATGCAAGAATGTGCAGTGGACGCCATTCAGCAAGAGGCTGTCATTACGGATGATATCAGAAATCTTGAAGCCCAAAGGTGTATTAAGAAGTAAGGAGTCAAAGTGCAGGTAGATCCTATGTGACCATTTCAGCATTCCAGTTTGTGAACTGTGAGAAACTCTGGCCTTTCATGGTGGATGGTGGACTACAATGTAATATTCAATAGACAAGTGGCCCATAGTAAGGATTTATGGTGAGAGAGAAAGAAAGACGGAGACTTTTACCAGGTCACATCTCAATTCAATAACCAAAGAACTGATTATTATATCCGTGAGTAATGAACATTCTGTGTCACATTCATCCGATATTATCTGCTTACCAAGTCATTCGACTTGAGTTAGAAATTCGTAGTTGATTTGATGTCCCCAAACTATTCCAAACGCGTTAATGTGGTTGGCACTATTTAAAGACAAAAAAACAATTCCTTACATTTGAATCTTGCACAGTGTACGGTTGACTGGCAGTGCTTGATCGTGTAGATGCTCTAGACCGGGGTGGCGGCAGGATGCTGTCTCGATCCAGGCTGTCGCCGTCGCCCGGGTTTCGACCTTCTGTAAGCAAATAGCGGGAGCTGCCGCCCGAGGAACCGCCGTACTCACTGCCCGCATAGGGTGCATGGGCACTGCTGGTGGTGGTGGACTGAGGTGGGTCAGTCTCAGCTTGAGCTGGAGATGGTGGAAGAGAATGGGGAGGGACTTGATCTCCAACTGGAACTAGTCGGTACTCGTTTGTTCGCTTACTAAGTCTCCACCATAAGAATAGAGAGACCGTCACGAGCAGACCAACACCAGCCAGTCCCCCGATCGCTGCCTGCTGAACAGTAGTCCAGGGCGACGGCGGGGAATCGTCAGCCTTAAGTCGAATGACCAGCGATGGCGGGTCTTCTGAAATTCCACCTTGCTGGCGGACAAGGTAATCTCCTTGCAAATTGTACATCATCGTGTTGATCACCAGGCAGTCGTTGTCATCTCCATGGATACTGGCGTACGGCACCATGTTGATGCGGGAGTGCTCCAGGTTTGGCGCCATCAGCCGGATCGGATGCAAATCGTTCTGAGCTATGGCATAGTCCCACAGCGGATGGAATTTGATCTCTGTGCGACGAGAAAAACAAGGCAGGCACAGCTCGTCTCTCAAATCTGCAGGGTGACGAACGCAAGCCTGACAAATGTGGAGGGGGACTTTAGGAGCTACAGACGCGTAGCTCGCATGGGGCCGCGTGCCGGCCCCATGCAGGCATTGACCTAGGTTCAGCATGCACATAATGACCATGACTGACATGCACCAGCCATCCTACACATATGCGGCCGTGCACCGCCATAAAAGCTACGTCCCTGCGCGATCAACAGTACCAGCTGAATCGACATGTCGTGGACATGGACATGGAGAATGTCGCGTCGATTCGGCCGGTACTGTTGAGTGCGATTTTAAAACGATCATCTCCTTGCCGGCTATTCAAACCGTAGGAGAAGTAAAAATCGTGACTCGTGCCCTAAACAATATTCTTGTTAACCAGCTGGGTGTTCACTGGTGCCAAGTTGACCATTGCTGAAGTATGGATACTTTATAATTTCATTATCACGCATTGCAGAAGTCAAGATGATACAGATCCATAACCAGTACAGTCATTCAGGGCATAAACCAAAACTCAGCGAGGCAAGCAACTAGAAAGACCACATCAGCAGAGGGATGCTTACCTGCAGGTTTCGTGACATGCAGGCAGAATGGCTGGCCCAACTTCACAGAGTACGACCTGTCGGCAGTAAAACCATCGCCGTATGCCTGCTGGCTTGAGGACGTCAGAGACGCTGTCTGCAGCACACTCGAAATGGGCAACTGGTGGCAGGTACTGTGGTCGTTGCACATCTTGCACGTGTCGGGAATTATGTCGACGATAAAGTCTTGAAATCCGGCGGCCTCGAGATGGTTTCCTGGCGCATAGTACTTACAGCGATACCGTCCCGCTGTGGTCCGGTTCAGCATGTGTATGAGAAGAGAGTTGCTACATTTCGTGGAGTATTCGTCCTCAAACTCCGGCAGGCCGCTTCCGCTGACGTTGCAGCTGCAGCGATCGAAGCTTTCCCAAGCAGCCCCGTACAAATCATCAGGTACCGAGTTTCTACTCAGTTCTAGCTCCATGTAGCGATTATGTCGATCTTGAACCCACCATGTATCAGCATCATGCGGATTGTTCTCCTGGCAGGATTCGTTGGCCGGTTTCTCAGCATATGGGTTTGGGCACAGGATGCGCAGGTTTGTAACTCCTGCGGGCGCCGTGATGTGGCACACCGAATCATCTTCGAGGACATCATGATAGACACCTGAAAACATTATGAACCAACACACACACACACACACACACACACACACACACACACACACACACACACACACACACACACACACACACACACACACACACACACACACACACACACACATACACACACACATACACACACACACGTACATGCACACATGCACACACACACACACACACACACACACACACACACACACACACACACACACACACACATAAACATACACAAAATTAGGCCAGTGAGAATGTGAAAATGCTTTGTTGCCATGTGGCAGTATCATGTGAAACACACATTAGCAAGCAAGCTAAGACACGTACACATACGCATACTCCCATATAGTCGAGATCAAGATCATTTTTGGTGGTTATCATTTTCTACCACCAGGTTATGTTTGTTATCTATATTGTTCTCTCGGTCTCCAATGTCGAGTTACAGACCATTCGTTGGGCCAGTTACATGTATGTATCGACCACCGTTTCACAATACAATTGTCACCGCTGTTACCCAGTACTGTACTAGAAGGGTGAGCAGCAGCAGTTTTCAGTGTGTTAAACCAATGAAGTGGTGGAGGTGGATAACTACTTCATTGTTACCAAACACAATAATCATGAAATGCATTAAATGAGCATCCAGTTTCAAAGGCTCACCAACCGTGTGCTTCGTACAGAGAGTGATCCACTGTGCACATGTGGTGTTCACAGGACTCGGTCCGCGCCTGCTGGAAGTGGTAGCGGCACTTCTTCGTCTTCACAAACTTCTGGTGCCGAGTGCCCGTCATCAGTGCGCCTTCATCGGGATCATTGGCGGCTGATTGTAGGGGCCTCGCAGTGGCAGGCACAAACAGGCTTACAGCACAGCACACGCTAAGCAGGATTCGAAAGCGCCTCATCTTTCTCAGGAGTCAGCCTGGGTACGTACAAAAGAAGAACGGATTTTGAACACAGTAGCAGCCAGGACAACAGTGAGAACATCTCAGATAGAATTTACACTGCAAAAGATGCTGGCTACAACGTAAAGTCCAGCTGGGACGAATGGCGTATCATCTCGTACTTTTCATCGGCGAAAACCTTAGCTAGAGTATGAAACAGGGTTAAAGGGGAAGTCTGGTGAAAAATTTAAATTTCAGGGTCGGTAGAGTTTCGGGCGCTGAGTCGAATGGTGTTGGTCCCATGTGTCTCCGACAAAGCGTTCTCGAGATATTTCCGTTTCAAAAACTGAGTTTCGGGGGCTGCGCCATGACGTCATGCGGCCGCGCCACACCCTCCGCAACGTCATAGCGTGCAGCTAGGTCAAAAGGATTGCGTGAAAGCAATAGTGTCAGTGCTATTTCAAATGATTTGACGACCGATATTAGGTGGTGCAAGCGACTCCGAAGACGTAACTACTTGTGAGAGTGAGGATGCAGCCATGGCTGACCTTCATGACTTCGGTCTGGGGCTGAGAACCTCGGTATTCAGCTGAAGAAATGGCCGCGGGCCGGTCAAGAGTGAGCGCTACTGAGTTTCCGACTGATGAAGAAGCAGCAGCTATTGCAGACGTGGCTGATATAATTATCAGATCGCTGGAGATCAGAGTCGCCAAAATGGAGAAGAATGATGCGAGTGCTCTAAATGTTGTTCCATACCGATTCGCTTAGACTCCAGTAGCCTGCCACATGGTGATGTTTTGGTGCGAACTTGGCATATTTCGGACTACTCAATTGGAGAACAGTGCAGGCTCTTTGAACCACGGGCACGACTCTTCGCTCGCAACGCTACGGAATCTGAAAGTTCTAGGTCCGGGAGCTGTTCGCTGTTTTGTCACTTGTCACGGTTGCGCACTCATCGCTGTAGCACAAAATAATGAGGCGGGAGCGGAAAACTAAAATTTTCTTTCTCAAAGCACAACCACCGGCACCGGCAAGGAGAAACTCACATTCTCTGACTACATAACTGTACAATACGACTGATACGAGTGTAGTACATGACAAGTCCGGGTGTTGACTAGTTTTCTGAGTCTTGTGTCAGTTGTGACTCGAGTCTCGTTGTAGATACTACCCCAGCACGGCAGTGCGAGAGTAGTTCCGTGTGTGATGAGTTTGTTGACTACACTATAGCTAGACCCTAGTATGCACGCAGCGCATTGCTAGAGCCTTAGAGGCCATTGCATGCCGACGGAAAAAGTCCAACTCGGAAACGGTTAAAATACGGTATAACCTCGAGGTTTACCGAGCTGAAAACCACAGTGTACGTAGTGTTTGTAACTCTGAATCGAATGGTCTTGGTCCGAAGAAGCTGCGACCAACGGTTCCCCAATCGAACGCGCTCCGAATATGGCCATTTTGTACATAGCTTGATGGTGTGGCTACCTGGCTGCACGCTGTGACGTCATCACCTGGATCTGGGTGATGCGCGCTCAAATTCGCACATGTTCGATTGGGCGTATCTGACGAACCATAGGCCGCAGCCTCCTCGGACAAAAACCATTCCACTCAGCGCCCCGAACTCTACGGACTGTGAAATTTAAATTTTTCACCGGACTTCCCCTTTAAGTCAGTCAAATACCAATACCAGACGAAACCACCACACAGCCCCCAAAATCAGAGTGCAATGCATTACACTCATAACAAGGACACACTTCAGGCTCCTTTCGAACATCTTGAAAGTTTTTGGTTTCACAACTATACTTTCAAGCCTTCTCATCAGGTGAAGTACCGGCAAAGGAAAAGGAACAGGAATAGTGGAGCCTGAAGTGTGTCCTTTCTATGAGTATTATCGCATTTTTGTCTCAGAGGAAACTGAATGCATTATGATAGTACGTAAAATGCTGCTGATTCTAGTCGAATGCAAAGGATGTTTGTGGACAGAAATCAACCCCAATTCAGGCACTATGTGTTGCCGAGTACTTCCAGCGAAACTATGAACTACAGCCACACCGGCAACAACAAACCTCTGTAATACTGGATAGACCCTAGTACACGCTCAACACCGTTTCAGTGCTGGTCCATAAAAATCTCATATCTATAATGATGATTGTATTCTAATGCAACAAATCTGGACTCGAAGTCCGAAGGCTTCACAGCCTATATCGGGACTCGAATCCCCGGTCCTGTGAAAGCCTGAATGCGTGTCCAGGGGCGTCGGACACGGTACGGTGACTACGGCATTGACTGTACCACTTTTCACCCCAGGTACGCCGCGAATCGACACAATACACTGATCTGGGTTTCCAAAATGTTTGGCTCAGCCTTCCCTCCCACACGAGTAATTTTGTACTTCAGATGGCTGACCGTACCGCGCTAAAATACCTTCCGACGCCCCAGCTATCTGATCACGACGGTTCGAAAACGCACCACACCCTAGTTATGAACACTGGCTTATGACCACTGCACACCGTGTACAATGCTCACCCCAAGCAGGTACCCGTTGGTGTATTCCAACCAATGCCATAACCAGCTGATGACCGAGAATATCACACCAGTTTATTGTTCCAGCTAATCGCTTGATAACATAATATTTGTGTTGCAGAAGATTAAGGTGGGAGCTACTACTAGTACACTCGTCGATAGGAAGCTAGCCCATGATTTTACTCGTAGGAAGATCATGGTTACACGCGTCTAAAATTCATGAAATTTTATCACTATTCCGTAAATGTTATTTTCCAATACTTCGCGCTATTTGTACACGACTTAGCGTATTCAAATCGCGCATACACTCACTCTGGACTCATTGTCACGATATGCGAATAGGGGGTAGGTTCGATACCAAGCCTATGCATGATGATCACAGACAGGTGAACTTCGACGACAGTTCGGTTTTCTCTCTTAGTCTTACCAGCAATGCTCATGCTTGTTGGGGCTAGAGGATTCCGGAGAAATCTTGTTGATCGCCGAGCGGAACAGTTCACCCACTCCTCTGCCACCAGGGGGCCAATCCAGACGGGAACGTTCGTGAGTTGCGTGGCTTTACCGCCAGTTGCGTATCTGCCACATCCTTCCCTGAGTTGAGTACTTGACGTTGGAACGCGGAGTTGATCCAATGAGTTCGCATGAACACACATCAATTACATCACACACATAGTCAGTCACTGCCACTGCCAGCCTTCACTGCCTTCTGCAACGCACTTATCAAGGCAAAGACAAGTATTGTAACTAATAATAATAATAATCGGGGCAACCGAAAACGATCTGCCGTCGACGCGTCTTCTAACATAGATCCACACTGTAGTCCATGGTAGTCTGTGTAGACCGGGCCGTGCCGAGCAGTGCGGGCACACACGTGTATCTGTTGCATATGTGGCCTGCAGTGCCCAAAAGGTCATGAATACGTATCCCTGCGTTCAAAAGTGCAATCACATGCGCGCGCGGTGTCTGCTCAGTCATAGAGCGAAGCTAGCACTGGTGCACTTTGTACCCTTGCGTGTGGCATGAATGTGTGTTTGATGCCAGCGCGATGCATCGCGCGCACGATCGTGGACTGACCTTAGGGCCTGTCCAGACTAGGTAGAAAACCACGTAAACACGCCGTAAACATGCTTGTTGCCAAGGTGAGTGACGAAAAATGGCCGATAACGGGGAACGTGGGATTCACGCGGAACGTGAGTTGAGGACCCCTGTACAAAGCACGTTTTCGCAGTGTTTGTTGTGTGAGAGTCGATCGGTGGAGTTTTCGGATCGCATTTTTTCTTGCTGTTTCCAGCTGCTGCAGCTTGTTTTTGCTTTGCCGTTTTCATAATGCCACACGTTCGTTTCAGCTACGACTCTGAGGCGACATTGATACAGTCGTGGCTGGACATGCAGAGAAATCCCGCCGGGGTCTGGTGAAGAGGAAGGTGTTGGAGAGAGAGAGAGAGAGAGAGAGAGAGAGAGAGAGAGAGAGAGAGAGAGAGAGAGAGAGAGAGAGAGAGAGAGAGAGAGAGAGAGAGAGAGAGAGAGAGAGAGAGAGAGAGAGAGAGAGAGAGAGAGAGAGAGAGAGAGAGAGAGAGAGAGAGAGAGAGAGAGAGAGAGAGAGAGAGAGAGAGATAATTCACTGACGAGCGAGCATTTGAAACTGTTTGGATAGGAAGTAGAACCCTGTTCAGTTGTGATGAACGAAATTGACGACCTGAAGGCCAAAGCCAGGGACTTTTACTGGAAATGCACGGCGGCCACAACCATTAGTTCATCAAGCGATGCTATAGCGGGCCTCGACCGTGACGCTGCGCTGCCGCGAGAGTGTGGCCCAATTTCCGTACCTGGAACAGAGTTCAGGGTGATGACTGATGTTCCTTGCGCTCGGCGTCAGTACTGCCATCGCTGGGCCGCCACTCGTTTTTGTAGCTAGCTGGGTAGGTCTACACCAAGCCAGTACAGGGAGTGCTTGCCTGGTCTTGGTCTACGACAACATAGTCATTCGATGATACATGTAGTACAGAATCCATGTGCGGCACGAAGATTTGCTGCCATAGACTCTACAATCAGGTAGATGTCTTGAAGTCTTGAACTGAACTAAAGTTGAAGGATGTATGTAGGTTTACAGTCAAATCGAGTAGATCTACGTGTATACGTAGCGCGATCCTGGCCCTAGTAGATCTACGTCACTAGCATGCAGTACAGCCTACTGCTACAGGGTTTTGCCGTCCTTGGTGGAGGAACCGTACAAAAAACACCACCACTGGTCTAGCTGATCTGAGTACGAGTGATCACTAGCTATTACTTGGCAGTTGGCACGCATTTTCGCCGCACACCAGTCCTGCAACTACTTGTTTACCCCTTGAGATTCGTGCTGGTCTTGCAGGCCCCACGTGCGTCGTCTCGACTAGCAATAATAGAGTGATGGATGCGTGACAACCCAAAATTTAATGATAGTGTTTACGGCCTCGTGATGTCGGGCGTAGCACATTGTAATAATGTACATCAAGTAGTGTGCAGTGAGCAAAGACAAAAGTGCGTGAACGCGGAGCGTGTTAGGGGTAAAGTGATTTCCCCTTCAGTGACACCATACGCAGAACATCTACTCAGCAGTAATGCCAAAATTGTGAGTGAGAGTTGCCAGCTTTGAAGGTCTGGCAGGGGCTTGAGCTGCCTGAACTGTCTACTTTAGCCGCTTGTCAAGAGCATTATGCTGACATAATGAGCTTTCCCATCCCGTGAGAGGAACCATGACAGTCTGTCAACACTACAAAGTTATTAAACTGGGACGGCCTGGTCGGACTTTGCGGGTGACAAGTAATTAGGTTGACAGCCAACACGTGGCACACCACATGTAGGGAGCCGGGAGAAACTGGTGCAGAAGGGTGATTCGTTTCGCACATCAAGATTGTGCATCCTGAACGCCACGATAAAACAGATGAGTAAACATGGCATTGGCTCCGTGCCACAATCACGACATGATTTGCACATCCGTGTTCAGGAGCTATATCCACGTCTGCACGTTTTTGAATAATAATTCACCTCACACTGACGCAGCGAACTGAACATGTGACTCAGGAGTCGGGGGCTAATGCGCACGATCACTCGAATGTCCACACGCTAGCCCCCGCAGCATCGGTTCCAAAAACAAGTCAGCCACATGTCCCTATAAATATCCACAGTCGTGGCCCACATTCAGACAGGCACAAAACAGACAAGCATACCAACACATTGTGAGGGGTATTTGCGACAACCGTTATGTTAGACTCCAACTGAAAACACACGGACCCTGATGATGACGGAAAGTCCAATACAATTATGAGCAAGGCTAACCATGGCGACCATGAGAAACCCCCATACACTTCTTCTTCTTCTGGAGCTGTTGCCAAAAACGCTAATCAGGTTCGCTCAGCCCCACATGTCGTCCAGATCTGGAGTTTAGATACATGTATCGTCCTACAATTTTATCCCCATGTCCTGCACCAAAGATATGGGTTTGGGAATTGCTAAGTACTGTAAAACCGGAAAGTCTAAAGACCAAAAAGTTTAACGTTTTTGTAATTTTGGCACGGTTACGTGCAGAACGTTTAACGATGGCTACCTGGCCACCCATCTGTATGCACATCTTTACACACACATCTAACGATAACGTTTTTTTTTCAAATAACGAAAAATAATTGGTCGTTAAAACGTAAGACTTTGTGACTCGTTAGACTTTCCGGTTTTACAGTGACGTCTACACCGTTACACCATAGCTCAGTGGTTAGAGCATCGCTGGCCTCAAGCGAGTGCCCCTGGTTCGAGTCCTGGTGGTGACAGTCAATTTGATCTTCAGACTTTTCCCGTTTGCGCCTTTACCTCAAACCAGTGAATATACATGATGGTAGGCTCTGTACTAAAGGTTGGGGTTATTCCAAGTTGGCCTGGCGACCTAGCCCCGCAGAGATACAATGTAGACATGTACATGTTTTTTGCTTGTTTTAGGAATGAACTCATTGAGCCTCTTGTAGGCATGGGCGGGTAATGCTAGCATTATGGCTGGCATTATGGTCCCTTTTTTGCAGGTGGCATAATGCTGGCATTATGACACCATTTCGCAAGCAAAATTGGCATAACAAGCATAATTGCCGGTCGACAACGGTGTCATGCATGAAGCTGGCTAGGTCCGGTTCCGAAAATCGTGCATCTGAACCCGTCCGGCTTCGTCCGGAGACTTGACGTTGCAAATCAACCTTCTCAGTGGATTGTTCCAGACAACATGCTCACTGCTGTTTAAGTTTTTTTCTTCTACGCTTTGGCCTTGATCCAAGACGGCCTTCTTAAATCGACTTTTCCAACTTTCAAACTGGCATTATGGAGTAGTGTGAGCATTATACATGTACATGCAAGTGGCATAATATCCTCATATTATTATGAGCATTGACTTAAGCATTTTCGCTGCAAATAACTAGCATTACACGCCCATGCCTAGCCTCTTGTAGGGGCAAAATAACACATCAATTTTGTGAAGCATCAACAGAATTACAGAAAACGAGTCATCGGATACATGTACATGTATAGTACTTAGTAATTATTATACAGACTCAGTAGCTCGGATCATTGCATATACATGTACATGTGAAATCATTGTACATGTATTTTGAGATCGTAATGGTTGCACTCTAGTACGCGTAGTTTGCGAAATAATCATTCTGAGTTGGGACACGTCCCTTTGGGCCATTACCGCATAAGAAGAGAGAAGGCGCTAAGGAGTAAGGTCATGAAAGTGCTTACCCGACCAACCACCTGCGCACCTAGCAGCCAGCTCCGGGATTCTAGGGTATTGACTGAAACTGGGTTAGAGTCTTAGACAAGATGCAGGAATGCCACCACTCTCAAGGACCCAGGCGCAGATACAGGTCCTAAATCATAACTGGGAATGGGTCGCGATGTACATTTGTAGAAAACAACAAACAAGAAAATTGAATACACTCACTGGTGAAACGGCGAGCGAGCACTTGTTCTGAGAAGCCTGATATGAGGGATGACTTGGCGACGTCCCCTTCTTGGTTCTGCTTTGAAGTACAGCACTTGAATCTCGAGCAACAATAGCATTATATTGTAGTAGTTAGTTAGTTACGCGGGCGTGCCCGGGACACGTTCTACTAACTGTTGTATTTTCTATGACCAAGACGCAAGAGTGCTACAGTCAACTTCGCTTATAACTACACTCGGCGGGGCGTCAGAAAAGTGTCCTTACTCGCGAAGTGTCGTTATACCCGAAGTCTCATTATAATGTATTACAGTCGGATGGGACTTTACTCTGGGCATGGAAATTCTGTCGTTCTTCGCGAATTGTCGTTATATCCGCAGTCGTTATAAGCGAAGTTGACTGTACATGTACTGGCATGTTGCAACCTGAACTACAACTACAGACTACAGACTACAGTAACAGTACAAGACTTAGTGCCAGGTCTGTACAATCATGTAAATGTACACTACGTACATGTACACTTCATCATTTTTGTACACGAATGGTCAGAACATTTCCAGCCTCGTGCTGGAAAGAGAAGCGATCGCCCACTTGCGCAGTAGTGCATCCGTGATAGATGTACATATTATGTACAATCATACACTTTCACGCCGGTTTAGCCGATTCCCAGGTGATTCCCCTCTCTTCTGGCATGTCATTCAGTACGCAATAGTGGTTGCGACTTCGGCGATGATTTTTAGGAATGGGTTCGATGGACCTCTCGTGTGCTCTGGATGGCAGTCGTGAGTCAGTCAAGTGTCACATTTCGGCGGAATAGGCGAGCTACAATATGGGAGTAAACCCATTCCGATAAAAATTAATGCCATTCAGTGACTGTGACAAGCACTACCAAAATTTCTAGTCACTGTCAATTCCAGAATCAAAGCATCAAAGCATGATTATAGACTTCGGCCAGATGACTACAACACTACATACTGAGAATTTTGCCTTTATTTGATCACAAACTGGGTGGCGGAATGAAGAAGTCGAAAAGCACAAGCAAAGAAGGCAATGGCGACAAATCCAGTCAAGTACATTGTAGATAGGAAAATCAAATCAAATAAATAGGAAAATCCAATTCGAGAATAAATGAAAAGAATCAAGTCAACTAGGGAATACCAAAACACCACAGTACATACCAGTGTTCACTTCGCCTTGTGGGTTAGACAACAGGAAATTGCCACACTGGGGTATGAGCCCATCTCTAGGACTTATAGTGGAGATTCAGTGGAGAACATCAGCGCACACCACTGTTACGTACAGTGGTCACTTTAAAGTTCGGAACCATTAAGCAACGGAAGTTAAGCTGAATCAGGAAGGTTGCTGGATTCCAGAAACTAATACATTTGATTTACTGGTGCAATGTGTACGGTGAGGACATTTTGGATACTGAAAAGATTTCCTACTTGTAGATATGAGTGGAAAATTCAATCAGATAATCACGTTGCTGTGTTACATGGCCCAGTGCCCTACTCCCAACGCCATGATGCTCCTTTACAAGAGCTACGTTCGACCGCTAAAAGAGTATGATGTTGTGGTGTGGGCATACTGGGCCTAATATAATGAGCAATTCACACTACGCCCAAAACGTGACGTTTTCGTCCGGATAGCCATGACAACATGGACCGTGGCGGGAAAATCGTACCCCTGATACGAAAACGTAGACGACGTATCCAGACCCCTGTACCGAGTTTCGTTCTGTCGTTCCCAGCAGTTTGCGTCCAAAAGAAGCTGTACACACAGCTGTACGAGCAGCGTGTGCGTGCGTAGTGTGTGAATGCACCTGCATGAAAACGACGTCTGCCAGTTCGTCGTATTCCAAAACGTGACGCGTATTGTAAAGTAGTACGAATAGCCTAATATAACGGCTACCTGCGTCTGATTTGGGTGTGCTAGACAAACTCCAACGAAGATTCATTAGGTCAAACTTGCGACGGCGTAAGTTTCATTTCCCCACCCCCAATACACCTGGTCTCACGACACTTGAAACAACAACTCCAGAGGTTTCAAAGCTACTGTCTAACCTCGACCCGTTAAAGAGCCCGTGTTGTTATGGCATACCAATCCGCCTACTGAAAGAGGCGGTCAGTTCACTTTCGCCGTCCCTAGCAACCCTTTTTAAAACACCTCCTTCCAACGTTGCACTATCCCGCAAGAGTGGAGGGACGCAACAGTCACCCCATCCACAAGAAGAGCAGCAAAACCGAGCCCTCCAACTATCGACCGATATCGCTGCTCAGCGTGACGTAGAAAGTGCAAGAGTTACTGACCGGATCTCCAAGCACATCCAACCTCACCTCCCCAACGGCCAATCAGGCTTTCACCCAAACTACGGCACCACACAGCAGCTATCTCGGTTAATCCATCAACAAATCACTATGAAAATAGACGCTGGGAAAACAGTGATCGCTTGCTTCTTTGACTTATCTAAGGCGTTTGACCGGGTGTAACACCAAGGACTGCTTGCAAAATTGGCCCACCTCGGACTCGATGGAAAATGCTTCCAGTGGCTTGCCTCCTATCTCACGTACAGACGACAACGTGTTCAAGTGGAGAGCAGCAAATCAACCTGGCTGAACATTCCAGCGGGGTCCCCCAAGGTTCTGTCTTAGGGCCACTTTTTTTTCACGGCCTACACAGTCGATCTGCCAACCGCCTGCATTAATTAATGCCAACACCGAGTGCAGCCAGTTTGCAGACGAAACAGCCATCATTGCCGCTCACGAGAAATTTCTAGCCTCCGAAGAGCACCTCCAATTAACTGTGACAACCGCCGCACAGCTGAAGGATTGGCATCTCCTGGTCAATGAAAGTAAGACCACTGTCATCCACTTTCACCACACCAACCGTCCACCTCCCAGACCACTGTCAATCACACTCAACGACACCAACCTCACTGTGGCCTCAAGGCATCACCACCTTGGCCTCATCATACAGCCCAATCTGTGCTGGTCCAGTGGAACTCACATGTTTCCGTCCAATTCTTGAGTATGCTTGCACTGTCCTCTCACCCTTCCCCGCAACCCTCAATGACCGGCTCGAACACATCCCACGGCGCGCCGCTCGCCTTTGTTTGCATATCCCTCTCTTTGAACACGGAACCCACCCGGTGCTGCTTCACCGGCTCGAATGACCATCACTAAGCAGCCGGCGTACCCTCTTCCATATTCTTCTTGCACATAGCGTGCACCATAGATATGCACCACCACACCTTCTTGCAATTCACCTACACCAAATACAACCCATTCGCACGCTCAGGTTACCCCGAACCTTTGAGCTACCCACAACACGTACAAACAGGCTAAGAGACTCCCCTATCTATGCTTCTCTTGATCTCTTTAATAGCATCCCACTCAGCCTCCGGCAAATTAACCCAGACGAGCAAACATCCTACCTCCTGTCGTATCTTCCGTATGTACCTGCTCACATCGCTCAGCACATCTATAGTATAGCCCCATTGTGCCCAGCTTCAAATAAATATCCCGCGCATGTGATAAACTCCCTATTACCATCGCTACTACATGTATTTCAGCAAGCAGCTAAACTTAGATTTCTCTTTCTCCGATCTCCGTGCCTGTAATTCTTTTTCTCTTATTGGTCACACTTCATCGTGAGAATCAAAGATTTCAAACAACAACAACAACAACAACAACAACAACAACAACAACAACAACAACAACAACTACAACAACAACAACAGCTGTCACCCCGCTTTCAATCACAGCCCTTGACCGCCTTGAGCGAATCCAGCGCAAGGCGGCCATAATTTGCCTCCGTCTCCCCCTCTACACTCCTCTGAATCATTCAACACTGTTCCATCGGCTCAAATGGCCGACAATGTTCTCTCGCCGCAAAGTGAAGCTCACCCTTCTTGCACACTCCATAAAATACAAATATGCCCCACAACACATACGCATGCTCAACACCACCGCTCAAGTTACGGCCCAATATAGCCTTCGACACGCACGCACTTGGCACCTCCAACCCACAAGAACCGATCGCTGTAAAGACTCCCCACTGTATAGGTCCCAAGAATACTACAATTCCCTCCCTGCTCGCATTCGTGACGTCTCCCCGCGACCTGCTTTCAAGAAGGAAATCTGCTCACTGTTGATTAACTCAATCTGCTCCTGCAAAGCCCACCCTGTCCCATACTTGTAAAATTCAAAGTGATGTAAATCACTTTCCATCTGCATAACCCACAGCCCCACCCACAGCATCTCACCTTCTCATAAACTTATCTCCTATTGACGATGGTGCCATCGTGAGAATAACGAATTCAAATTCAAAAATAAGGTCAACAACAACAACAACAACAACAACAACAACAACAACAACAACAACAACAACAACAACAACAACAACAACAACAACAACAACAACAACAACAACAACAACAACAACAACAAACTAGACGTGTCCACCGCACAGTATTTCCCCTTACTTTTATTTATCGCCGTGGTTGGCAATCACCCACTCTCTTAACATTGGCCGGTGTTTCCACCGAGTCTTGAGATGTTGTAATAAATATATAAATATTTGTCGTCCACTAGGCATATGCGGATGATGCCGGCAGAAAAATTGGCAGAATTCAATACTTTTTCTGGTAAGTTTTCATGCATGTTTGGTATGTGGATAAAGAAATGGAGCAGAATTCGAGGAATTGCCCACCATAACTCATAAGGTTTGTATGGTTCTGCCAATTTCAATGCTTTTCGAGAAGAATCTGCCACCTTTTCGAGCATTATTCGCCAATGCCTATGGACGTCCACTGCTAGTTGTGTATTTGTTTGAGAGTCCGGAATGCCGTAATGTGTATTCACTATTCAGACGATTGCTTTTCAATTTAGTCACATGTACCCAGTGCTAAGTTCTTGAAAGCTTTTTAGGCTGTACCATGTACATGTACAATATACCCAATGCTGTAGACAGCAAGCTGAATGTACAATGCGAAGAGCAGCTACATGTACTTTTACCTGTTCGAGGTTTGCGATAATTATGTGCTTCATGTGATACTTTGAAGCTAGCGTCGGTGATCGAGGACATGCAGTGACGGCACCGAGGCAGAACCACGGTCCACCTTGCTGCGACTTACCTGCAAAATCCAGCGCCGTGTTTGTTCACTCGTTGCCGCCAGCGCTAACACTACAACTCGGTTTGGGTGATTCACGAATGAGCATTTCACTCTCCTCTATTAGCCTCCATTTCAGGGCATCTCTAGTACTTGTAGTAGAGATGATGAACGTTCTAGTCATCCAACCCGTGATTACCGTGCTGGTAGTATACGTGTTCTCACAGTTGAGCGCCGCTATCGTGAGCACCGCGGAGCCGTTCCGAACGGCAAGAATGGAACAAACTCTAACGGGGCCGCATGAAACCAACCTGGAAGGCTTGCCCAACTTGGGATTGGAAGGTAAGTTTTCAAAGCGGCAATAGTGATGCAATGGGCAATGACTCAAACCGTCTCCCTAGGAAATTAACAATTCAATGTTCGAGTTCTACTTCTGGTAATCAACCGACAAAGTTACCTTCCCTTGTACAAAAGCTCGCTGTTTCTCGCTGCTTGAACTGATTTGGTGCGCCCACCTAGTGTACACAAGGCTTGGTTGCTCACTAAACTTCATCGTGATCAGTTTGGCCAGTAATTCATAGCTCTGCTGAGAAGACGGGGCTAAGGGCGAAACAAGGGAACTCTCTCCGGAGAAGAATTGATAGATCAGATTATATTTAGCGACTACTTGATCCGATGCTGCTGGACAATATTCTACTCTTGGGGAAAAACAAAGGAACAGAAACAAGTGTAGAGGGAGAAACTTGTTCAGTGGGCACTGTTGCCTGACAAGCTGTCCTGTACCTTGCAGAACCTTTTCAGAATAGTTCTAATGGTCAACGAGTGAGCTTCTCATGAGCTCTCGAGCAGCAATGGAGGAGGATGTCACAGTGTGCGGGATATTTATTTGAAGTAGAGTTTCACATCGCTCATTTGTTGCTCACGAGGTAGCACATTGTTTTATACTCGCCTTCTCTTGAACTGCTCTTGTATCCTTGAAATACCAGCGCCACAGATCGTGTGTGACTGTGTGTGTGTATTCTATGTGCGGCTGTGTGTATGTTTGTTCGTGTGCGATTGAGCGCGTATATACACGTATGCGTCTACATACATGTACTTGTACGTGTATGTGTATAAAGTGAGTATGTTTCCTGGCGCCTTTCCACACATACTTTATACTTGGTACAAGGTTCTAGTCGATGAAGTAAGTTTACTACCGTTAAATTAAGTTCTATAATTACCGGTATGTGATTTTCGGCTGTGTAATGAAGCAAATTGAAGAGATAATGGGCTAATCCAGACAATTGCTGTGTATACCTGTGTACAACAGCTGAGCCCACCAGATGGTTCGGGTACTATTGCCCTGGAAAACCTAATTTTTGTCATTCCTTCTCATTTACAATACAAACGCGATCGTGTATGGCTTGAAAGGAAACATTTTACTCCTAGCATATCTCACCGTCCCTTGATATTGAACAGGATGGACAAAAAATTATTGCACAGCTACTAAATTGCACCTCAGTTGCATTGTTCCTCTTGCTGGTGCTGGGGAGGGGGGGGGGACATATTGCTTCTTGCAGTGCTTGCAACGCCGCGGACTTCAGATGAAACTGTACGACAGTACATGTACATGTACATGTACTGTCTACGCCAGTTTGTTCATGTACATGTACATGAACTTAGTTCAAGGTAATTGTTGTAAGTGCATTTTGCCTCAGGATGGCTCAGGGTGGCATACGTACATGTACATGTACAAGCTGTTACTCACAGTTCATGTACAGGTCAGGTATTTCTGGATACATTTCACGTAGAGTACTGCTTTCCCTTCGGGAACGGACACGATAATTTACTTACTTCTACTGCTGTCATACATGTAGCGCGGTAAAATTGCTGCAGCGCAACGTCTTTTCCATTCCTTTCTTTTTATTATCCCTTAGGCTTCTTCCTCTTCATCCATGTAAGATTTTGACGTAGCCCCCGTTGATTAATTAATAAGGCTAAGGTCTATGGAGAATCCTTAGAATCCATTGTATTGCATTGTATTGTTTATTTACGGATTCTCCAGAGGTAAGCGGATACCTATCATGGGAGTCTCGCCAAACCAATAGAATAATGAAAATAGAAGTAGATAAACTCAAATAAAATCTGAGAATTTAAATCAAAGAACAGGGAGAAAATCAATAGGTCGAAAACCAGGGATGCCAATAGAACACAGGAAAGGCACTAAAACAAGAGTGGGCTTCCCGAAGTTATAACAGACCTAATCAGGGATTCATTTGTGAGAGAACCGATGCTAGAAATAATGGTTTCTTTTAAACAAAGTTTTAAAAGCAGGAGAGGAAGACAGTAGCAATGTGACTGAAAGGGAGCTAAAAAATATCGCTGGTGGCCTCATAAAATCAGGCCCAATTCATATCGCTCGGGCATAGCCTGCACTGCTGTTTTGTGTTTGTGTGCGACTTTGAGTAATAGTAATTATAATATTCGCGGGATCCGCGTTAGCATCACTTGAATGTTCAGAAAAACACAAGCTATAGCCTTGAAACAAGCCTCTTGTACGGGCAAAGCAAATGTGCTTACATAATAATTATTATGACAGAAAATCTCAATACCAAAAAAACTATAATAATTATTATAGCCTTCGGTTCCGCAGGCCACCACTGCGAGTGTGATTGAAAATGTGTCGCAGGCAGCGACAACTCAAGAGGTGCGAAAGTGGGGTGTCGCAAAAAATGCATGTGGGACCAGCTAGCCATGCGAGCTATAACAATGTCATACTATTGTGACGAAGAGCGATCCACGCCATCGAAAGAGTGCAATTGCCAGGTTAGTTGCCGACAATAGAGACTTGATGGCGACATGCCATGCTTGCATTTGAAAATACTCCTCGACATAGCTTGCATAGCAGCACACCCGTGGCAAATAGCGAAGAGATTAGAATTTGTACGACTGACGCTTGAGATTGGTATGTCACTATTCATAACAGCTACCAGTACAGTGGCTTTCAGATTATAATTGAGCAGCCAGTGCAGAATGGCCAATTTGAAGGTACTGACCATGCACCAGCAATACAGACAGAAAATCAAAGATAGCCAAGTTGGTTTGTCGACAACTAATCTTTATTTGAACAATGCTTCATGTGTGATTGTGATCGGCTCGTGACTGTGGCTCGCAAAAGCGCACCGCACTGGGCTGTGCACCATACAGCGAGCCAGAACGTTTCAACCTGCTTTCCTTTTCAGTGCAGCTAATGTTTCGATCAACGCAATCGGAGTGTGCTTTTTAAAACAAAAACATATTCATTGAGCAGGGAGTGGTGCTTTCTTGCAGGTTTGCCGAGTGGGCGGTTCGATGGACTTCTTGTGTGCGCTGGATGGCAGTCGTGAGTCAGTCAAGTCAGAGAGTCGGTAGGAAAAGCGCAAGCTCCCACGCAGGGAGTAATACACCAATTATCACCGAAGTCGCACCAAACCCTTCTTCAACGATTATTCATGTTGATGTTATCAAACACGCAATCTGTTACCGAGACTGAAAGCTGTCAGGAGTCATGTACAATCCGTCATGTACATTGTACATGGACCTGATGTCTGTTGTTCAAATTTGAAATTGCGTCCTTGGACACATCCTAATAGTCTGCCATACTTTGGCACGTCCTATAATATGGTCGTTCCTTGGGTGCTAAAAGTTTGCTCATTGCTTGGGTAGGTCAAAACAGTTTGTGGTTCCTTGGACACATCCTAGAAAGGTGAAGAGGTAACTAAGACTCGGATGGAGAGTCAACGATTATTTTACGATAAAGAAAAGGACCAATTAGCTACAAGTTACACTATAATGCCCACTAACACCACCAAATACTTTAAAACAATCAGATCATACGATAACATTGCACGACACTGACCAATGGCACTGACGGTCTACAACCAACTGGCAAGCAGCTCTAGCGCGTCTGGGATGCGCACTCCAACAGCCTTCCAACTTGGGAGGTTCTAAGTTATAATAATAACATAGGTGGGGAAGGTGTGCGCAGCCAAGACGAAAACGAGCTGAAAGGCTCAGGTTGAGCTGTGAAGCTGAGCTGAGCGGCAGAGCTGAGAAGCACACCTGTGCTTGTCTTGGTGGAACCATCATGTGTGGTTGCATAGGAAGCACGAGTTTCAACGTCTGACGAACGATGTTGAACGGTCCCTGCTTGAATGAAAACTATACCAAAGCTTAGTGGTAGGGCATCGCTGGCCTTAAGCGATGGTGCCATGTTTGAGTCCTGGTGGAGACTGTAAATTTCATTCTTCAGATTTTTCCCATTTTCGACTTTCAAAACGACTATTGAATATGTCATGTGTTGGGGCTCCTTGCGTGCTACGTTGTACGTGACGTTCAAGTGCGTGGGTTACAATGAGGGCTGCATCCTGCCAGCTTGTGTGGAATCATTGGAAGTCAGAGGGAAATGTTAAAATGTTGCAGCTTAAATGACGACTACACAATAGCTTAGTGGCCACAAGCGAGCGTCCTTTGTTCGAGTCCTGGTGGTGACAACCAATTGTGTCGTCGGATGTTTCCTATTTTGCAACTTTCCCTCAAACTACTCATGAAGACCTTGTTTACTTGAGTCTGAGAGAAGGTTTTGAATACACTCTTTCTTCTTGGTGTGTCACGATTCAGCATCAAAACCAGACATTGGAACAACTGATGGTTTCGTTGAGGAACTTGAACGAATAGCCCGTAAGTGTTACTGACCGTAGAAGTGAGGAAATGCTAAATGTACGAAATTATACAGTCAAGAATGCATGTAAAGAGAAAATGACCTACATTGTATATTAAAGTAATTATTAGTTACTCCTCCTTGGCAGACTTCCACTTCATATTGCATTCTGATGATGGCAATTTGCCGAAACGTTGAAAATGATTCTGTAAAATGAAATGAGTTGTGAATTTGCAGTGCCCAGGGAATGAGCATGTGTGCTCACCAATTCTCTTCGAGTTATGAAGCTGCAGGATGCCTCACCGCTACTTCGTTTAATAGTTACGAGTTATGACTAACAGTCCGCCAAGGTAAGGTAACGGGAAAATAATGCAGTCAGATAGTACGACAACACGGCACAAAACTGACAAGGATAATGAGACATTCGGCGACCTGACACCTAGTTCCAGCACATCAACGGGAGTGCAAACCAACGACTTTACGACTTGGAACCTGGAACTCGTCGAATGTCTCAATATCTTTGTCAGGTTTGTGCCTTGTTGCCGCAATAACTGGCTGTATAATTATCATCTCGTTACTTTGGCGGACTGTTTGTCACAACTAGGGACATGTAGGTGCATTTCTCTTTACATCTCACTGTTGCCTCAGCATCCGAGTTTTGTTAGCATCAATGTACATTAATTGTTCACTCCGGTAGGAATGGTTTACATGTAAATAAAAGTGAGCTGGGGTTTTATCGGGATATTCTAAGAAATTTTGCCTACGTGGAGAAAGATCGGCAGTGCGAGAGACGAAGAGAGAGAGAGAGAGAGAAATAGAAATAGAGAGAGAGAAATAGAAATAGAGAGAGAGAGAGAGAAATAGAAATAGAGAGAGAGAGAGATAAAGAAGACAGAGAAAGACAGAGAGAGACAGACAGAGACAGACAGAGACAGACAGAGAAACAGAGAAGACAGAGAGATAGAGACAGAGTGATACAGAGTGAGAGAGAGAGAAACAGAGAGAGAGAGACACCGGAGACATTGTGCATTCCCACCATTTTGAATTGAACTATATATTATTTTTCTTTCCTTCTTGTCCTTTCCTCCGGCAGAGGTATTGACCGACTTGCTTGGCAGTCCAGCACTTACTGATAGTTTTCCAGAAGGAGTCCAGCAAAATTGTGGTATGTTCCTGGCCTTTGGGTAACGATGTGTGGCACTTCAATTTAATATCACCAATTATCGAGCTGTTGTTGTGACAATCTGGAAATGTCAACGCCTTAAAACGATCAATTCTCATCCACGAACATTCCATGGGACATACATGTACATGTAGGAGGATTTCCGATTTCGCGTGCATGTGCTCTTGCGTGCTCTTGCCCGTGTGTGCGCGTGTGTGCATGTGCCTGCATGCTTGTGTGTTTGTGTATGTTTGTGCGTACATTCGTGCATGCAAAAAAAAATGCGTAAAATGCTTGTGGTCACGCCTGTGGAATGTGAGCTTTGGGCTTTTTGCTTGATTGCTTTAGGGTATAGTGGCATTCAAGCTCAGCAATGCCAGGACATGGGATGTGCCTGGCTCAAGTTTCATGTAAGCATGTGAACTTTGGTGCATCCACTTTGCAATGTATGTACCCGGCTTTGTGCGTTCAAAAATGATAGCAGTAGATGCCAATTCTGTTTGACGACATCTGTTTTTACAGTGCAGTGAAACCTGTCTAAGACGACCGCTCAAGGGACCTGGAAAACGTGGTCTCTGTTACCAGGTGGTCTCCTTATCCAGGGTCATTTGACTGGAAATAACATCCCCTGGTCCTGGTTTCAGTGGTGTTCTAGGACAGGTGGTCGCCTTATCCAAGTGGTCGCCTTGACAAGTTGTACGGTATACAGTACTGTTAGTCGCCGGAGAGCGGGGGGGGGGGGGAGGTTGGCCTCCTAGCCTAAAAAAATCACAGTTGGCGTCAGACTCGGCTACAGGCCGATTTTTCCGCATCCATGATGGTCTAATTGTCTGTGGCCAGGTCCACTCGCACCATGAAGTATGAGCACCTGATAATGAGGACCTTCGGACATGAGACCGCTATGGAAACATTAATTAGTTCTTGTGCTTGGAGTCAAAATATATCACAGGATCCAAAATAGGAATGTTTTTGTGTATGACTTTTCCTTCATGGTTGATAAATATGGTGGTAAAGACACACCTGGCAATATGGCGGTAAACACACGCCTGCCCACACACGCTCTCTAGGCTGCAAAGTTCTGGCACAGAGCTCTCCTTCTCACAAGAACTTTTCCTTCATGTCTGTTTTTAGAATTATCAACATCAGTGCTTCCTACCCGGCACTGAAAGCCCAGAATATATTGTAACCGCTGTTTGGGACACGCCTACTGGATTGAAGGTGACTTGGACAGCATAGCCATAATGTACTGCTGCAGTTGTTGGTTATGCTGCTGCTGCCGTTGCTACCTCACCTCTGCTGTGTGTGTGTGTGTGTGTGTGTGTGTGTGTGTGTGTGTTTGTCTGTCTGTCTATACATGTATGTGTGAATGTGTATGTGCCTCTGTATGGGTCTGTGTATGGACCAGTTTATGTGTATGTGCCTGCGTATATCCCTGTAGGCATCTATCATCACCAATAGTTCCTCAGGTGTTTTTCTGTGTGTGTGTGTATGTGTGTGTGTGTGTGTGTGTGTGTGTGTGTGTGTGTGTGTGTGTGTGTGACTGTGTGTGTGTGTGTATGTTTGTCTGTCTGTCTGTCTATACATGTATGTGTGAATGTGTATGTGCCTCTGTATGTGTCTGTGTATGGACCAGTTTATGTGTATGTGCCTGCGTATATCCCTGTAGGCATCTATCATCACCAATAGTTCCTCAGGTGTTTTTCTGTGTGTGTGTGTATGTGTGTGTGTGTGTGTGTGTGTGTGTGTGTGTGTGTGTGTGTGTGTGTGTGTGTGTGACTGTGTGTGTGTGTGTGTGTATGTTTGTCTGTCTGTCTGTCTATACATGTATGTGTGAATGTGTATGTGCCTCTGTATGTGTCTGTGTATGGACCGGTTTATGTGTATGTGCCTGTGTATGTGACTGCGTATATCCCTGTAGGCATCTCTCAACACCAATAGTTCCTCAGGTTGGTTTCTTTAGTATGTTTTAAGGGTTACTCCTAATGAACGCTGTAAAAATGATGCCGAAGTGTAGTTGCCTGCTTCTGGTCGAGCAAAGGAATAGGTTACAAGGGGGTTTAGATTCGGTTATAGTTTTCTCTTCAGTGATACAGTAAAGATTGGGTGAGCTGCCTGTGCCCATGTACCATGACGAGTGTTTCCCAGGCATTGAATCGAGTACCGCTGCCATATGGCTACGCATGATGGCATGAGTAATAGTGACCCAAATAGTCGATAAATATGGTGGTAAAGACACACCTGGCAATATGGCGGTAAACACACGCCTGCCCACACACGCTCTCTAGGCTGCAAAGTTCTGGCACAGAGCTCTCCTTCTCACCACCACTACCATCAGTTTGCGCCTGGCGCCTGGTCAATGCATGGCTGGCGGTATCCGGCATAGCAGGCTGGTACATCAAGTAGCGCATGGCACATAGATGATGACACAGCAACGACATAGCTCGATTGCGACGTACGTTTCGTCCCCGCTGGACTCATTAATGCAATCTTCTTCTTGGATGTCTTCATACGGAGCTTGACTCGGGAGAATGAAGTTGAAGACACCACTGCAGCTGTACTTATGGTTGATAAATATGCAGTGGTGTCTTCAACTTCATTCTCCCGAGTTTGGGTGTGCATGCGCTCGCCCGTGCGTGTGTGTTTGTGCATGTGTGGGTATGTCACCGGCTGTTCGTGCGTGCCTGCATATTCGTATGTAGGCGTTGTTTACGATTGTTCCCATGTGGGTGCTGAAGTATGTGTATGTATTCAATCTGCGGATAGAGCTGTTTCGTCCTTTATTTGTATGTATGAATGTGTTAACGCTGGCAATGTAAATGTAGGTCGCTATGGCACTCCAATTACGCCTGTGATGCTGCAAATTGACTTTGATACTGACCAGCGACTACATGTCAAGTTTACGGATGATACCAGCCAGAGATGGGAAATACCAAGCAAGTAAGTTTGTCTGGATTGCATCGCTGATTGACATGGATGTGGAAAAAAGGTGATCTTTCCCTTCTTGTTTTAGAATCTATATGTACGCCTATTTGTTTGTATCTTTGTCTGGGTGTCCGTCTGTCCATCTGCCTACCTATCTGTTTGAATCTCTACATGTTTATCTGTCTGTGTCAATCTCTCTATGTATGTCTTTGACTCGCCCTCTTTCTCTGTGTTTCATTCTCTCCCTTTCTCTTTTTTTCTCATCTGCATTTCTCTCTCTACCTCCCTGCCTCTCCTCTCGGAACTTCTCTTGCTTTCTCTCATATTCTCTTCTTCAAATTAATCTTTCTTCGCACTGTATGTCTCTTAAAGATTCTCACCTGTGCCTGACGCACCTACCAAGCAAGCATCAAACCCAATGTACACTGTCATTATCGCTGAACCTGGCGAGGTTTTCTTTATCAAGATTGGGCGGTAAGCATCGGGTCAATCTTCTCAACGGGCGGGGTCACAGGTGACATGGTCTTTTTTTTTCCCAACGGGTGCAAGTAGTCCCTCACCCCCCCCCCCTCCCCAATAGGATCGCTGACCCGCCTGACTAGGCTCTGGAGCAGACACTGGTTTATAAGCCTTTTGCGCCCTGTACAGATGCACGAAATCCCGTAGAATCCCGTAGAACCTAATGGGTGTTGTTGAATGTGCAGGACCCTATTGTGTTTTCTGCTATTTCCACTAAGAAATGGGCCCTGAAGGCATTGCAAAGGAAAACCTTTTTCTGACAAAGATCTAGCTAGTCATTAGTTCTAACCAAAGTGAAGAAGTTGGAAAAGGGATTGTTTGCCATTAATTATGAGGCTAAAATTGGTCAAATGCGCATGCATAGCACACAATGAACACCCTAACAGGTCTGTACACACCTACGCCCTAGTACTGAACTTCGTACATCTGTACACCGCGCAAAAGGTCTATTGATAATAACAAGAGTCCATAACCCAAGAGTATGCAACTGTGATTATGGGTGCATGCGTGGCGCGCTGCCTTCATTACGTAACTTGCCTTCATCACGCTCTGAAAGCATGCATTCAAACTCTCAATTTCTCGCACGAGCCCATCCGTTTTTGCTCGATTCGTTCCAGTACCTACACAATCTCTGAATTCTGGCGCGTGAACTCCAGTTCCGTACGAAAGTTCATTTCAAACTAGAGGGAAAGTGCGGTGTTTGATTTTCCGCAGTGCGCGGACTGCAGCTGAATGATGTAATGAAGGCAGCGCGCCGCGCGGTTGGCCCATAGAAAAGAGATCACAGTTGCATACTCTTGGGTTATGGACTCTTGATAATAATGGTCTTCTTCTCTCTGGTTACGTTGGTGGACAGTTTGTCATAACTCGTAACATCTTGTCCTTTTCCTTTCTTCATCATAACTACAGTCCGTATCGCCTATAAGGTTGGCGGCTATAGTAATATACCGGATATAGTGATCGATTTCTCAAATTCATTTTCATTTGCCATAACTAAGTATGCACAGTTATCGCGTATAGTAATAATCGTCTATAGTAATATATCGCCTATAGTGATCAAATTCATATTTTCCAAAGACCTTTATTACACTATTTTTCCATCGGTTATAGTGATTGATGTAAAATCAATCGATGTCAGAGGAGAACAGGGTGTTACTTCTTCGTGAAGAACTTGTCCAGTGAGTGTTGTTTGGTGAGTTTTGCTTGTACAAGTTGCCAAAATATGCCTCCATCATGAGGAAATGCTGATTTTGTGTGTCAGGAGCTACAGCCAGCTACATGACATTGTACATATAAGTAGTGCGTATGTGCACGGCGCGCTGAGTCGCTTGACACCCCACTCGCATACATTGCATGCAGTATCGGTCATAGTAATATATCGCTTATAGTGATAAAATGCTCAAAATCAAACACCAACGCTATAGGCGATACTGACTGTATATTAGCTAACCATCCGAGTTCAACTTCTTCTGTTTTCATCGGATTTATAGGAGATCTGATGGCGAGATCATTTTTGACTCAACGGCAACCACAAGCTCCGATGGCTGTAAGTTCTTATAGTACAGGAGCCAAGTGGGTGAAAACCTCAAGGAAAAATAGTTCGTTCCGACTTTGAGCGTACCACGATTTTTTGATACAAATCGCGAGACAGTGTCTTGTAGAGGGGGAATCCACTTGTTGTCATTTCTGAAACCTTCTGGAAGGTCGACTTCCAGGGGCTTCTTCTTCCAAAAATATTCGTCGATCGGCTATGACGAGGCCTCGCAAATCTCAAGTAATTTCAAGCATTTTCGAGAACTTTTTGCGTAGAGTGCACGCGTTTTGAATCTTGGGTGCGTACAACCTCATGACGTCAGTACGCTAGTACAGTCTTTTTCGCTTTCGGAGTTTCGCTGTGACAAGAAAGGAACTAGCAGTCCTTGATCTGTTTTCGACTCCGGCGTTGCACGACCGGAAGACGAAAGAGCCACAGAACAAGGTACTGCTCGTCCGATTCCATCTACATGTAGCAAATGTTCTGTTCTGTAGCAAATGAATAAATAAGTTTCCACATGGAAAGAAATCCGGCAACATCCAGCAGTGGTGAAGCAGCTTTATTCAAGTCATGATTTTGAGATTTTCTGTATCCCCTCGTCGTAGCGATGCAGATTAGGATTACTTGCATCCTTTTTACCCATAGACTAGTAGTAGGTGGTGTCATCGGCATTTATCATGAAGAGAGCCACTTTCATCGACCGTCTCATCAATTTATCATAAAAGCAGCTGATACTATAGCCTGTTGCAGAGTTCTATTCGACTTACAACATTACAGGACAGTGACTGGTTACTGCAAAATGGTGCAGCCCTGATGAAGGTGAGCTTCACATGCACATGTGGCATTGAACTGTTTCTGCATGTGCGAACTGTGCCTATTGAAAATGTTACCATTTGGCCGCCAAGGTGGGGGCAATCTCTGGAATTATTAATTTCTTGCCCAAAGATAGTCCTGTACTACATCCCCCGGAGTAGTTTCTTTCAAAGGCCGAAACTCTTCTGGACTAAAGTGACGTGTGTGGACCCATAACTGTGCAATGAAGGTTGTCGGCCTGCGGGTGTATGTGGGTGTGTTGCAGTTATCATTGTTTGCTCTAATTATCCTCTGCATGCAGCCGGGGCCTGCCACCGACTTTATAGCTACTCAAGTTCTGCAAGTAGCACACGCACCGCTTCAAGGCATGTTGGGCAATAAGACAGACTTGAATTTGCAGCGAGTAAATCCTGGAAATATTGATTGACTCCTGTGGGTTAGTTCAACGAGGGCTACCTGGCAAAAATACAAGCTCTTGGCTAATCTGCTACATCCGAGTCAAGATGCTGTCGGCAATTCCAAGATGACATGATCGGAACCCGCTAAGACAGCAGAAATTGCATGATCCAGGAACATGCATTATCACTGGTCGTTGAACACGGCCGAACCAATGCCGCCCAGGATCAGATGACAGCTGAGCTTAGCCATATTTAGAGACAGGATATGGATTGTAATTTTGGAAGATACTAGTAGTAAGCAAGTCGTGGAGCAAACATGTCATGATCTTGCCCGTGCTGAGTTTAATATGTTGGCACCTGCCTTGGTCTGGAGGAAAGCAGAACTTTTAGGCAGCACCGGAATATAACCAAGCAGAGGAGATGCATGTAGGAGCGTTAAATACCGCGGTACCAATAAGCCTTTGATTTTCCGGGCCTTTGTACCTCTTGTGCATTGCATTCTGCCCACCAAATGCAAGGGGCAGTGTAACAGGTAAAAGGCCCACTGCCGTTCTGTATATGCTGTACTACAAACTTTTCTAGTTTGAACATTACCATGTACGTCTCCAATGCGGTGAACCCTTTGATAGGCCTGGCTTTGGTTCATCCTAATAAAGATCGCTATTATTATGACGTGCGCTGTCTTCTCATATGATATCAGTATACACAAATCCCTTCTTGTTGGTGCATTACAGTTCATTCCCCATACTTGTAGATTTAGACACAAGTACAGACTACATGTACTTGCTGCTTGGAATTTTATTTTACCCTACAATGTACGTGTCCGTGCGGAACGTGATGTACGTGTCACTGTCTTTTCCAGGTATCAATCATTACGTTTCAGGCCTGAAATAGCAGGTTGACGCTCTTAGTTTCAGGATTATCCCAATAGACAGTTGTTCTTCTGATTTGGTAGCATTTCTGAAGTTGATTGATTCTTTTTTATTGTCATTTTGTAGATCGTTCGTGGTTGCCATGGTAACCAAGAAGAAAAGAGTTCTTATTCTCGCTTCAAAACACTTCAGTTAGAATGATTGGAATAAATACATGGAGATGCCAATAGCAAAGTGGCGTAAAAGTAACACAAAGTGACACAAATGCTAATTTTGTATCCGGTTGCCATGGTAATCATAGGCAATTTCAATCGCAATTTTCACCACCTTTCAGAAAGTTCTGAGAATGACAACAAGTGGTAGGGTGATCTACACATGGCCCTCTATCATATGAGCCCAAAAAATCGTGGTACACCCAAAGTGGGAACGGGAAGTCACATTTTGCCCACTTGGCTCCTGTACTATTACTGTCTATTGTGTAGTATTGTAACTCCCATTCCCTTAAAGGGGAAGTCCGGTGAAAAATTTAAATTTCACAGTCCGTAGAGTTCGAGTCGCTGAGTCGAATGGTCTTTGTCCGAGGAGGCTGCGGCTTATGGTTCGTCAGATACGCCCAATCGAACATGTGCGAATTTGAGCGCGCATCACCCAGATCCAGGTGATGACGTCACAGCGTGCAGCCAGGTAGCCACACCATCTAGTTGTGTACAAAAATGGCCATATTCGGAGCGCGTTCGATTGGGGAACTGTTTGTCGCAGCTTCTTCGGACCAAGATCATTCGATTCAGTGTTACAAACACTACATACCCTGTGATTTTCAGCTCGGTAAACCTCGAGGTTATACCATATTTTAGCCGTTTCCGAGTTGGACTTTTTCCGTCAGCCTCTACGCGCTGTGCGCTGCGTGCATGCAGTGCGTGCAGTGTGTTATCTAGCTGTGGTGCAGTCAACAAACTCATCACAGACGGAACTACTCCCGCACTGCCGTGCTGGGGTAGTATCTACAACAAGACTCGAGTCACAACTGACACAAGACTCAGAAAACTAGTCAACACACGGACTTGTCATGTACTACACTCGTATCAGTCGTATTGTACAGTCATGTAGTCAGAGAACGTGCGTTTCTCCTTGCCGGTGCCGGTGATTGTGCTTTGAGAAAGAAAATTTTAGTTTTCCGCTCCTGCCTCATTATTTTATGCTACAGCGATGAGTGCACAACCGTGACAAGTGACAAAACAGGGAACAGCTCCCGGACCTAGAACTGTCAGATTCCATAGCGTTGCGAGCGAAGAGTCGTGCCCGTGGTTCAAAGAGCCTGCACTGTTCTCCAAATGAGTAGTCCGAAATATTCCAAGTTCGCACCAAAACATCACCATGTGGCAGGCCACTGGAGTCTAAGCGAATCTAATCGGTATGGAACAACATTTAGAGCACTCGCATCACTCTTCTCCATTTTGGCGACCCTGCTCTCCAGCGATCTGATAATTCATCAGCCTCGTCTGCAATAGCTGCTGCTTCTTCATCAGTCGGAAACTCAGTAACTCTTGACGGGCCCGCGCGGCCATTTCTTCAGCTGAATACCGAGGTTCTCAGCCCCAGACCGAACTCATGAAGGTCAGCCATGGCTGCATCCTCACTCTCACAAGGAGTTACAGGTCTTCGGGGTCGCTTGCACCACCTAATATCAGTCGCCAAATCATTTGAAATAGCACTGACACTATTGCTTTCACGCACTCCTTTTGACCTAGCTGCACGCTATGACGTTGCAGAGGGTGTGGCGCGGCCGCATGACGTCATGGCGCAGCCCCCGAAACTCAGTTTTTCAAACGGAAATATCTCGAGAACGCTTTGTCGGAGACACGTGGGACCAACACCATTCGACTCAGCGCCCGAAACTCTACCAACCCTGAAATTTAAATTTTTCACCGGACTTCCCCTTTAAGAGAGCATGTCTGAGAATACCAAAGTATGTGTGCAAGTGGATCTCTCCGATTTCGCTCAAAATTTGCAGGTACTACCGTAGGTTCCCTTTGGGGTGTGGATCGATTGTGCAAAGCCCTTGAAAAAGTTTCTGAAGGGAACCTTGAAATTTGCATACCCCTCAAAAATGGCCGAAATATCACAGCATTTATGGGTCTAGAAACGAGTCACGCCACAGCGTATCCGAACAAGCTATGAACAAAACTCCATTAAGCCAAAATTGCCTCACCTCAGAAGAGTTCCTGGAGCAGTACCGCTTAGCCACGCCAGGATTCCAGAAGACGAGGTCCATCACCCCCTGACGCCACAAATGATCGTCTTGAAAATAGCGAATTAACAAGCGCTGGCAAAACAGCCAGCTACGTCCTCAATTGGCCAGAACTATACACCGGCAGATAGTAGAACGCCTCTTCTAGCGCTGAGGACATGTCCCCCATCTTCCTTTTGGGGTTTTCTTGAAATAAACTTTTTTTTGAATTTTTCCACTCGAACATGCTGAAATACGGCCAAAGTCATACCTGCGCAGGAAAGCTCGCCCCTCCGCGACGTCTCCTCAGCAATTTCTACTCCAACACTACTCCCAAGGCCGCAGAACAAAGTGTATTGTTGACTCTGACAAGGAAAAGCAGCGGTGATCACTTGTCACTCCAAACGACAAGCTTCTCCTTGCGCCACCAATAATTTTTTGTGCGACTGTTGATGCAAAAGTGACTGAAGTCCTGCAGCGCAGTTTTTGAATTTTACTCCAAGAGGCACAGTGAAATCACGTGCCTTGTGACGGTAGAATGCCAAGTCGCGTGGATCACGGCTCACGAGATTTCAGAGTCACCTTACATGTAGTGCGCTTGTTACTCGCCTTGGTCTGGAAGTGATCACACTTGTGTTGTTGCTGCGCTCAAGTCAAGAACACGCTGACCGTGTTGTAGCCTACGACCCGGGCCTTTCGCTGACCATGTAGGTCGAAGACCAGTGAAATGATGATGAAATCACATTCTTTATGACGTAAGAGATCTGTCATGCAGTTCACGCGACAAGTGCGCGTGCAGCTAGCCAGTGCTGCTCGCGTGCCAGTCAACGCAAAGCGACCGAGCTAGCAGCTTTCGACTTTCGTCGAGCAATGACATGAAAACAAGGGACTTTTACTGTTGGTCCAGTGTTGGACTATGTTCGGGATTGCAGGAGGTAAGTGTGAAAGATGAATAACTCTCCATGCTGTACGTGGGGCATATTTCAACGGCTTGCTGCCATTGCAACACTCCTAGGACAGTTTGTGGGGGTTCTCAGCAGATCAAGCAGGAAATGCAGCTCATCTTACCTCTGCCATCGCTGCATCATGGTCTGTTCCGTGTAGCGTTCCAGACACGTTCGCGATCGATGGCCGCGCGTTAGGCTTTTCCGGATTATGCGTTTTTTCTTGGTCTAAAATGGAAATGGAAAGTGTTTTGAAAAACCCCTATAAATCAAATTTTTTTCTAAAGAAAATGCAAAAATTTACCCAAAAAGCACAAAAAATGCCACCGTTGCCATGGTAACAAAATGGCGACAGTTAGTCGCGTGACTTTTGGCACCATGGTGATCATTCATGGTGATCGTGAAGTACCTATCGCTTGCAGGGAGTCGTAAAATACCGGTATTTTACGACTCCCTGGCGCAAAGTGGGTCAAAATGGGCAAAATGCATTTTGACCCCCAAAATGCAAAAATATGCAAACACATAATCCGGAAAGGCCTACCGCGCGTATCGTGATCCAGGAAGCGTCATCCTACGTCACAGAGCACGCGATCTCACCGTGCATCTTGCAATAAAAATTCAAAAACTGCGCTGAGCTCATGAGGACTTCAGTCACTTTTGCATCATGATATCAACAGTCGCACAAAAAATTATTGGTGGCGCAAGGAGAAGCTTGTCGTTTGGAGTGACAAGTGATCACCGCTGCTTTTCCTTGTCAGAGTCAACAATACACTTTGTTCTGCGGCCTTGGGAGTAGTGTTGGAGTAGAAATTGCTGAGGAGACGTCGCGGAGGGGCGAGCTTTCCTGCGCAGGTATGACTTTGGCCGTATTTCAGCATGTTCGAGAGGAAAAATTCAAAAAAGTTTATTTCAAGAAACCCCAAAAGGAAGATGGGGAACATGTCCTCAGCGCTAGAAGAGGTGTTCTACTATCTGCCTGCCAATTGAGGACGTAGCTAGCTGTTATGCCAGCGCTTGTAAATTGGCTATTTTCAAGACGATCATTTGTGGCGTCAGGGGGTGATGGACTTCGTCTTCTGGGATCCTGGCGTGGCTAAGCGGTACTGCTCCGGGAACTCTTCTAAGGTGAGGCAATGTTGGCTTGATGGAGTTTTGTTCATAGCTTGTTCGAATACGCTGTGGCGTGACTATTTTCTAGACCCGTAAATGCCGTGATAGTTCGGCCATTTTTGAGGGGTATGCAAATTTCAAGGTTCCCTTCAGAACCTTTTTCAAGGGCTTTGCACAATCGATCCACACCCCAAAGGGAACCTACCTGCAAATTTTGAGCGAAGTCGGAGAGATCCACTTGCACACATACTTTGGTATTCTCAGACATGCTCTCTTAAGAGAATTTGGTGTGGATATTATTTACAGTATTTTGATGTGACTATAACAGACATCTGCCTAGTAACCACATTGAGACAAGGCAATAGTAAAAAGAATAGCAAGACTAACGGCTATGTACAAAGGGATGTTGGGGTGAACTCATTTTCAGAAAAGAAAGTTAACGTCTTATCTATTGATGCGTACAATGCGTTCCAAGATTGCGTCTGTTGTTGAAGTGACCATTGTGTGCATGTGCGTGAGTCTGCATGACAGCTGCTGTGCGCCTGTACAGGTCATGTGCGTCAGGCGAGTTTAGCACCCCGAATTGGCTGGGGCTGGGGAAAATGGAGATGCATAAGAAGGCAACTACCATATTTTCCGGCAAATAAACCGCACTGGAGTATGAGCCGCACCCCCATTTTTTGCCATGAGATGCAGACCTCTACCCCATATATCACCGTTAATATTGTTGAATACGAGAAAGGACGACTGACGACACATTATCCAGACATTACGACGGGAACAGGTAGGTTGGTGGAACGACATTTATTAGAGACGGGACAAGAGACCAAGACGAACGAAACGACTACATGGTGATTATTGAAGAGTGAGACAAGAGAGCAAGTCTGAACGGCAAGATAAAGGGCCTGGGTAGCTATGGCAAATATGGGCGCGCAAGTAGCTACCCAGGCCAACGGAACAAAAGGAGACAAAAGGTGAGTACGCAAGTGCATGCAGGCCAGCTAGAAAAGGTACGGGAGGAGGTACCTAACATACCACCCCTCCATGAAAAAATATCCCGCGTCCTCGGGGAGAGAAAAAAAAGAGAAAAAGATTTTAAAAAATGACTGAAGGAGAAACACACACACACACACACATATTGCACGCGCGCACGGATCTCACAAAAGTGTGTACTAAAAATGCACTACAGATCATTCCTGTACTACTTATAGTGTGTACCAGGCAGGCACAGTGGGTTGGTCAAAGACCATGATTGAGATACGAGAGGTACCTGGTCCAAGTCCTGCCTGGGAGCGGTTTTTCCAGCCGTGCTGCTACCCACAGTCAACTGGGAACTTGTGGCCAGGCACAAGGGGTACATGGATGCAGCTAATGGGGTCGCTTTCGGCACTTGTGCCAGTGGTTGTGAGACTTACCCACTCACCCCCACCGTTAGGCGCTGCATCTGCCGCTAGGGTTTATCGGGTGTTAGCGGCCGTCGTGAGTTCCCTTCGGGAACGGATACGATAATTTACTTTATTTTTATTTTTTTATAGTGTGTAATAACTATTGGAGTTTGACGAGGAAGGTGAATTACTAGTATTTTGCACGGCTAATACAGCCTAGTTACACTTTTGCTAAACATCCAAATATTAGAGCGTGGCTCACCATGATCGGACCCCTAACTTGGTAATGTTTTATGAATACACGCGCGCACACACACTACAAAAAAATTCACGAAAAAAAGTTTGACGTAGAAGGAACGCATACAAAAAAAAGAAAGAGAGAAAGGTAGCTGACCTGCATGGCTTGAACGAGACTAGACGAGGTTGGCATAGGAGAGACGAGGTTGATAGAGACGAGACGAGGTTGGCGTAGGAGAGACAAGACTGACATGGACGAGACGAGGTTGACATAGACGAGACGAATGGCGGTTGAGGACGGCTGGGCATGGGATGATCTCAGGGTCGTGGGTCGATCAATAATCGGGCGCCAATGTTGAATACGAGAAAGGACGACATTCCAGACATTACGACGGGAACAGGTAGGTTGGTGGACCGACATTAATTTTATTAGAGACGGGACAAGAGACCAAGACGAACGAAACGACTACATGGTGATTATTGAAGAGTGAGACAAGAGAGCAAGTCTGAACGGCAAGATAAAGGGCCTGGGTAGCTATGGCAAATATGCCGGGGCGCGCAAGTAACTACCCAGGCCAACGGAACAAAAGGAGACAATAGGTGAGTACGCAAGTGCATGCAGGCCAGCTAGAAAAGGTACGGGAGGAGGTACCTAACAATATAATCATCGGAGTATAGGCTACAACACCCTTTTTGGGGTGAATTTTGAGTGTTCAAAGTCCGGCTTAACGTGTTACTCTGGTAAATACGGTAGCTGATTTTCAGCAGTAATCGTTTCTCCTCATTTGATCAAACAAGACCGCACGACGTTTGCAGTCGAGAGCACGAACAGTTTAAAAGCCATACTCCACTCCACCCGTGTGGACTTGTCGGATCAAATGAAAAGAATATTACTGTTTTGAATTGACGGACCGAATGAAGCTGGCAGCGACGAATAAACGTTTTTTTGTAGGTTCTTCAGCACCGAATTTTCTTTAACCACATCCTCATGGATGTGGTTAAAGAAAATTCGGAAGTACTTGGGTCAGGTTTTCCTTTCTATTATACGTCATCCAACACACTGGCATTTTGTCCATCTTGCCTTACCATAATGACTAGCGTCTCACTCAAAATGAAGGACTTCAAGGAAAGTGAGCTATAAATTATTCTTACCATGCTTACTTGGACGTAGTGACTTTTTCTGCCATGTCTTGCTCTGTTTGTGTGACATTCTATTGTGTGCATGCATGGCATGTAGTCGCATTCTTTGATCAGTACCTGTCCATCGCCACTCGACTACCTTCAAGTCCAAACATCTATGGTCTCGGAGAACGCGTCCATTCTCTAAAGCTGTCCCCGGGGTAAGTAATTCTCTGTCTCAATGTAGTACCGCTTTCGGCAAGGGCTTGAGTTGAAATGGGTGAAGGTTAGCGAGATTCCCGCCATGTTGGTCATGGACAGTCCGTTTCATTGCGAAGCAGCTTTTATTGGTTAACATGTTCATGCATTGCACTGCCTGTATGCATGATCAGCTCTCCAGAGCTTCTTGCCGATTCTTGTATGCAACCCATGGCGGATGCATTCTGATTATCAGAAATGAAAGTAAAAAAAAAAACGCATGGGCTATTGATGCCCGTAATACATTTCAAGATTGCCGCTGTTGTTCGAGTGAACATTCTCTTTTTGCGTTTTGGCTTCTGCAGAACGTATACCATGTGGAACTTTGATACGCCTACTCCTCCCAACGTTAATCTGTGTAAGTGCTACATTGATGCCTGAAGATTGCCCAGAGCATGACACTTTGGGGCGAGTTTTGGATGGCTGGACTCTAGTATTGAAATGCTTGTCTGAGCAGGGCCAGCACACCAGACTTCCACGTAATTACCGTATGTCCCCGATAGTAGGTCGCACTCGATTGTAAGTTGCACCCCCATTTCCAGGTGCATCTCATTATCGGTGTGATATATTCACTTCAGTAGTAAATGATGTTCGATTTGTAAGTCCCCTTTGTGGTCCCTGAAGTTGAGTCCAAAAAGGTGCGCGTCCCCTGTGCGGGCCCTGAAGTTGAGTCTAAAAAGGGGCAACATATATTCGTGGAATTACAGTACGTACTGCGAACGATATGCAGAGATTCCGCGGGACATTTCTTACAGGTATAATTCCTAACAGTGTGCATGGTGGTTCTTATCGTGCACGTCTACAGATGGCTCACATCCCTTCTACATGGACCTTCGCAGGTCAGGCGCTGCGCACGGTGTGTTCTTACGCAACAGCAACGGCATGGATGTTACGCTCCATCAGTCCAAGCTCCGTCAGTCCACTCTGACATACAAGGTGATTGGAGGTACGTTGTGAACACGATAGGCCACTGACTATTCGGGTCACGCAGATTTTCGCCTCAGATTACTTGCACTGAAGATTCCAACTCATGAAGCTACCAGATTTGGTGGGAACCTTCGCACGCAGTTTATTATGTATATCTAATTAAA